TCACCCCCATCCCCCCACACCCCCATCACTGGTGAGCTCCCACCCATCCTCCTGAGCCTTTCACCCCCCCCCAGACCGTGGACGAGTGCCGCCGCAGCCCCCGCCCCTGCACCATGGGCGCTGTGAGAACACGGTTGGGAGCTACCGGTGCCTTTGCCAGGCCGGGTACCGGCCCAGCGCCACCGGCACCGAGTGCCAAGGTCAGCAGGGACCCATTGATGGGGGGGGGGGATGTTCTCATGTCCTGGTGGTGCTGATCCCCCCCCTTGTGTCCCCATAGATGTGGATGAGTGCGACCAGAGCCCCCCCCCCTGCACCCATGGGGCGCTGCGAGAACCTGCCCGGCTCCTACCGGTGCCTCTGCCCCGGCGGGTACCGCGCCATGGCGCCGGGAGAGCCCTGCCAGGGTGAGCGGGGGATGGGGGGCATCATTGGGGGCACGGCGCCATAGGGGTGCCATGCAATGGGGGCATCATGCAATGGGTCACCCCACCATGGGGGTCCCACATGCTGAGCCCCCCACATCCCCCCCCATAGACATCGACGAGTGCGAGAACGAGGCTGCGTGCCCGGGCCAGGAGTGCCTGAACACCGCGGGCTCCTTCCAGTGCCGGCCCTGCCTGGGTGGGCTTCCGCCCGCACCGTGGCCGCTGCGCAGGTCCCGGACCCCCCCAGACACCCGCATCCCATTGGCCGCATCCATTGACCGCGTCCATTGACCGCGTCCATTGACCGCATCCATTGACAGCATCCATTGACCGCATCCATTGGCCGCATCCATTGACCGCGTCCATTGGTCACATCCATTGACTGCATCCATTGATCACGTCCATTGACAGCATCCATTGACCGGCATCCATTGACCACGTCCATTGACCTCATCCATTGACCGCATCCATTGACCTCATCCATTGACCGCATCCATTGACCTCATCCATTGACCTCATCCATTGACCGCATCCATTGACCTCATCCATTGACCGCCTCCAATTGACCGCCTCCATTGACCGCATCCATTGACCATATCCATTGACCGCATCCATTGACCGCATCCATTGACCACATCCATTGACTTCATCCATTGACTTCATCCATTGACCGCATCCATTGACCGCATCCATTGACCACATCCATTGACTTCATCCATTGACTTCATCCATTGACCATATCCATTGACCGCATCCATTGACCGCATCCGTTGACCGCAGACATCAACGAGTGCCTGGAAGGGGATTTCTGCTTCCCGCACGGGGAATGCCTCAACACCGAGGGCTCCTTCACCTGCCTCTGTGCACAGGGATTCACCCCCACGGCCGCGGGCACCGCGTGCACCGGTGCGTGTGGCACAGCCACCCTGCTCCATCCCGGTCCCTGCACCCATCCCATATCCCATACCCCATATCCCATACCCCACATCCCATACCCCATACCCCACATCCCATACCCCATACTCCATACCCCATATCCCATACCCATATCCCATACCCCCATATCCCATATCCCACATCCCATACCCCATGCCCCACATCCCATACCCTATATCCCATACCCCATACCCCACATCCCATACCCCATACCCCACATCCATACCCCATACTCCATACCCCATATCCCATACCCCATATCCCATATCCCATACCCTACATCACATACCCCACACCCCACATCCCATACCCCATATCCCATATCCCATACCCTACATCACATACCCCACACCCCACATCCCATACCCCACACCCCATATCCCATACCCCACACCCCATACCCCACACCCCACATCCCATACCCCACACCCCATACCCCATATCCTATACCCACACCCTGTACCCCATACCCCACATCCTGCAGACATCGACGAGTGCCAGCGCGGGGGCCTCTGCGCCGGCGGCCTCTGCACCAACACCGCCGGCTCCTTTGAGTGCCGCTGCCCCCCCGGGTTCCGCAGCGACCCCGAGCAGGCCGAGTGCCATGGTGAGGGGCTGTGGCCATGGTGGGGGGAGCTATGGGGAACACCAGATCTATGGGGAACATCAGGATCTATGGGGCCATGAGGTGCAGAGGGAACTTGGGGAAGGGCTAGTACCGTGCCATGGGGTGTAGGAGCAGAAGGAGGATGCCATGGGGCACAGGACCACAGGGATGATGCTATGGGGTAGAGGACCAGAAGGAGGATGCTATGAGGCAGAGGACCCAAAGGAGGATGCTGTGGGGCACAGGACCGTAAGGACGATGCTCTGGGATACAGGACTAAGACGATGCTCTGGGATGTAGAAGGATGCTCTGCTGCCCAGAGCTGCCCAGGACCTCCCCCCACCATAGATGCAGGCCCCCCCCCCTCAAACTGGTTCCCTCCAATTCCCCCCTGCCACCCCATTACCCCCCAGACGTGGACGAGTGCTCCCACAACGGGACCCTGTGTGGGGCCCACGCCACCTGCCTCAACCTGCCCGGCTCCTTCCAATGCGCCTGCGACCCCGGCTACGAGACGGCCCCCAACGGCCACCACTGCGTGGGTACGGATGGGACCAACGGGGGGGGGGATCCCTGTTATAACCCCCCCATTGGCCCCCATTATTGCCCCCCATTGCCCCCATTATTGCTCCCCATTGCCCCCACTATTGACCCCTATTGCCCCCCATTGGCCCCCATTATTGTCCCCCTTTGACCCCGATTATTGCCCCCATTGCCCCTCATTATTGCCCCCCATTATTACCCCCCTTTGCCCCCTATTATTGCACCCATTGCCCCCATTATTGCCCCCATTATTGCCCTCCATTGCCCTCCATTATTGCCCCCATTGCCTCCCATTATTGGCCCCCATTATTGCCCCCATTATTGCCCCCTATTGCCCCCATTATTGCCCCCTTTGCCCCCCATTATTGCCCCCATTATTGCCCCCATTATTGCCCCCCATTATTGCCACCATTGTCCCCCTTATTGCCCCCATTGCTCCCATTATTGCCCCCCATTGTCCCCCATTATTGCCCCCATTATTGCCCCCCGTTGCCCCCATTATTGACCCCCATTATTGCCCCCCCATTGCCCGCCCATTCCCCCCCATTATTGCCCCCCATTGCCCCCATTATTGTCCCCATTGTTTCCCATTATTGCCCCCATTATTGCCCCCATTGCCCCCCATTATTGCCCCCATTATTGCCCCCATTGTCCCCCATTATTGCCCCCATTGCCCCCATTATTGCCCCCATTGCCCCCCATTATTGCCCCCCGTTATTGCCCCCCCTTGCCCCCCATAGACGTGAACGAGTGCGAGACCCTGCTCGGGGTGTGCGGGGCCGAGCGCTGCGAGAACGCGGACGGCTCCTTCTGTGCCTGTGCCCCGACGGCCGCCACGAGTTCGATCCCGTCCGCGGCCGCTGCGGGGCGCCCTCGGGCGCGGCCCCCGCCCTGCTCCGCAGCGCCCCCGGCGGCAGCGCCGGGTGTTACAGCCGCGCATGCGCGCTGCTGGCGCCCAGCGTCACCCGGAGGCAGTGCTGCTGCAGCCTGGGCGGGCGTGGGGGGAGCGATGCCCCTCCCCCAACCACAACACCCACCCCTCCCCCAACGACGGACCCTGCCCCGAACCCGGCTCCGGTACGGGAAATGGGGGGGGGGGATGGGGGGGGTCATGGGGGGGGGCACGTGGGGGATGAAGGAGGGGTTGGGGGGGATGATGGGGGTGATAGGAGGGGGGGGATGAGGGGGTTTGGGGGTAATGGGTGTCACGTGGGAGGTTTGGGGGGTGATGGGGGGTTTTGGGGGTAATGGTGGGGCATGGGGGGGTTGGGGGATTTGGTGGGGGGATGAGGGGGGTTTTAGGGGGCTGGGGGTGATGGGGGATGAGGGGGGGGGATGGGGGGTTGGTTGGGGATAAGGGGGGTGATGGGGGTGTTTGGGGGTAATGGGGGGGCATGTTGGTGGTTTGGGGGGGGTTTGGGGGGGGGTGGATGCCCACGGCCCCCCCATGCCCCATAGAGGACCATGACGCCCTCTGCCCGCATGGGCCCGGCCGTGCGGAGGACGCCGAGGGAGCCCCCGTAGGTGAGTGGGGTCCCCGGTGCCCCCATTACCCCATCACCCCCATTACCCCCATTACCCCATTACCCCATCACCCCATTACCCCCATTACCCCATTACCCCCATTACCCCATTACCCCCATTACCCCATCACCCCCATTACCCCCATTACCCCCATTACCCCATTACCCCCATTACCCCATCACCCCCATTACCACAGCACCCCCATTACCACATCACCCCCATTACCCCATTCCCCCCATTATCCCCATTGACCTCATCACCCCCATTACCCCCGTTACCCCATCCCCCCCATTACCACATCACCCCATTACCCCATTCCCCCCATTATCCCCATTACCTCATCACCCCCATTACCCCCATCACCCCATCGCCCCCATTACCCCATTCCCCCCATCACCCCCATCACCCCCATTACCCCATCTCACCCCCTTTCTCCCCATTGTCCCCACTGTGGTTCCAGACGTGGATGAGTGCGCTCTGTTCTCACCGCACCTCTGCCGGGGGGGGGTCTGCGTGAACGCGGCCCCCGGCTTCAGCTGCTACTGCCCCAGCGGCTTCTACTACGAAGCGGAGCATCTGCAGTGCGTGGGTGAGCCCCAAAACCCCCAAACTGCCCCCCAAAACTGCCCCCCAAAACTGCCCCCCAAACCTGCACCCCCAAACCTGCCCCTGCCCTCCCAAACCTGATCCTGCACCCCCAAACCTGATCCTGCCCTCCCAAACCTGCCCCTGCCCTCCCAAACCTGCCCCTGCACCCCCAAACCTGCCCCTGCACCCCCAAACCTGATCCTGCCCTCCCAAACCTGCCCCTGCACCCCCAAACCTGCCCCTGCACCCCCAAACCTGCCCCTGCCCCCCAAACCTGCCCCTGCACCCCCAAACCTGCCCCTGCACCCCCAAACATGCTCCTGCCCCCAAACCTGCCCCTGTGCCCCCAAAACTGCCCCCCAAACTTGCCCTTGCGCCCCCGAACCTGCCCCCAATCCTGCCCCTGCCCCCCCAACCCTCCTCCCCACATCCCCCTTCCCCCCCCATCCCTGACCCCCTTTCCCCCCGTTCCCAGACAATGACGAGTGCTCGGCGGCCGAGGCGGAGCCGTGCCTGGGGGGGCTCTGCACCAACACCGTGGGCTCGTTCCATTGCTCCTGCCCCCCCCGCTCGTCTTGGACAGCTCCCAGCGCCGCTGCGTCGACAACGACACGAGCCTGGGTGAGGGCTCAACCACTGCGGGGCCACGGGGGGGTATGGGGGACGCTGGGAGCCAATGGGGGTCAGTGGGAGCCAATGGGCATCAATGGGGGTCAGTGGGAGCCAATGGGCATCAATGGGGGTCAACGGGTGTCAATGGTAGTCAATGGGTGTCAACGGGGACCAATGGGAGCCAATGAGGGTTAATGGGGGCCAGTGGGAGCCAATGGGGGTCAATGGGTGTCAATGGGAATCAATAGGTGTCAATGGGGGTCAGTGGGGGTCAGTGGTGGCCAATGGTGGTCAATGGGGTTCAGTGGGTGTCAATGGTGGTCAATGGGGGTCAGTAGGGGTCAGTGGTGGCCAATGGTGGTCAATGGGGTTCAGTGGGTGTCAATGGTGGTCAATGGTGGTCAATGGGGGTCAATGGGGTTCAATGGGGGTCAGTGGGTGTCAATGGGGCTCAATGGGTGTCAATGGCAGTCAATGGGGTTCAATGGGGCTCAATGGGTGTCAATGGGTGTCAATGGCAGTCAGTGGGGTTCAATGGGGCTCAATGGGTGTCAATGGGTGTCAATGGTGGTCAATGGTGGTCAATGGGGGTCAATGGGGTTCAATGGGTGTCAGTGGTGGTCAGTGGGGCTCAATGGGTGTCAATGGCAGTCAATGGGGGTCAATGGGGCTCAATGGGTGTCAATGGGGCTCAGTGGGGCTGACCGCGCGCGCCCCCCAGCGGAGGCGCAGGCCGTGTGCTGGCAGGAGCTGGGTGCGGACCTGGTGTGCGCGCGGCCCCGCCTGGACGCGCCCCTCACCTACAGCGAGTGCTGCTGCCGGCACGGGCAGGCCTGGGGCATGGAGTGCGCGCTCTGCCCCGCCCCCCACTCAGGTAACCCCAGGGACCCTATGGACACCCTATGGACACCCTATAGACACCCTATAGACACCCTATAGACACCCTATAGACACCATATAGACACCCTGTAGACACCCTATAGACACCATATAGACACCCTATAGACACCATAGAGAGACCATAGAGACCCCATAGACACCCTATAGACACCCTATAGACACCCTATAGACACCCTATAGAGACCATAGAGAGACCAGAGAGACCATAGAGACCCCAGAGAGACCATAGAGACCCTATAGAGACCCTATAGAGACCCTATAGAGACCATAGAGACCCTATAGAGACCCCAGAGAGACCATAGAGACAATAGAGACCCTATAGAGACCCTATAGAGACCATAGAGACCCTATAGAGACCCCAGAGAGACCATAGAGACCATAGAGACCCTATAGAGACCCTATAGAGACCCTATAGAGACCATAGAGACCCTATAGAGACCCCAGAGAGACCCTATAGAGACCCCAGAGAGACCACAGAGACCATAGAGACCCTATAGAGACCCTATAGAGACCCTATAGAGACCATAGAGACCCTATAGAGACCCCAGAGAGACCATAGAGACCATAGAGACCCTAGAGAGACCATAGAGACCCTATAGAGACCATAGAGACCATAGAGACCCTATAGAGACCCCAGAGAGACCCTATAGAGACCATAGAGACCCCATAGAGACCCCATAGAGACCATAGTGACCCTATAGAGGCTATGGGGACCCTGTAGAGCACATAGAGCCCATGTAGAGCACATAGGGACCCTATAGAGCACATGGGGACCCTATAGGGAACACAGAGCCCCTGTAGGGAACATAGAGCCCCATAGAGTACATAGGGACCCTATAGAGCACTTAGAGCCCTGTACCCCCTATAGAGCACATAAAGCCCCTATAGAGCACATGGAGCTCCCCCCCATACCCCCTATAGAGCACATAGGGCCCCCCCGTACCACCTATAGAGCACATAGGGCCCCTATAGAGCACATAGGGCCCTGCAGCCCCATACCCACACCCCCCAGAACCCCCATTGACCCCCCCACAACCAGGGACCCCCTTCCCCCCCACTATAGGCAGCCATCCCTTGTGCCCCCCCCTTTCCATCCCTACCTATGGGGACCCCCACGTAGACCCTGGGGTTCCGAAGGGGGGGTCCCCCCCAAACCCCCCCCAAACCCCCCCTTTTCTCCTCTTCCCCCCCAGATGACTTTGAGCTCCTGTGCAATGTCCTGCACCCCCCTGTCTACGCCCCCCCCCCGCCCCCCCCGCCTACGAGTACTCCCCCGACTTTGCCCCCCCCTTCGGGCTCCCCTTTGGTTTCTTCGGGGGGCCCCCCCCCGCCCCCCCCCCGTTCTTCCGCCCCGATTACGACCCCTACGGCTTCGGCGGGGGGGGGGGCAGCCCGGGGGGCTTCGAGTTTGGGGACCCCCGCGCCGCCCCCCCCCACCCCACCGGGGGCCGGGGACCCCGCTACGAGCCCCCCCCCAGGCCCCCTGGGTCCTGCAGCCCCACGGGGGCCCCCCCCGCGGGTACCCCGAGGAGGAGGTGGGGGCGAGGAGGAGGAAGAGGAGGAAGAGGAGGAGCAGGAGGAAGGTGAGTGATGGGGTGCGGGGGGGTGATGAGGTGCGGGGGGTGATGGGGTGTGAGGAGTGATGGGTGCGGGGGTGATGGGGTGCGGGGGGGTGATGGGGTGCGGGGGGTGATGGGGTGCGGGGGGTGATGAGGTGCGGGGGGGTGATGGGGTGCGGGGGGTGATGGGGTGCTGGGGGTGATGGGGTGCGGGGGGTGATGGGGTGCGGGGGGGTGATGGGGTGCAGGGGGTGATGGGGTGCGGGGGGTGATGGGGTGTGAGGAGTGATGGGGTGCGGGGGGTGATGGGGTGCGGGGGGTGATGAGGTGCGGGGGGTGATGGGGTGCGGGGGGTGATGGGGTGCGGGGGGTGATGAGGTGCGGGGGGTGATGGGGTACAGGGGGTGATGGGATGCGGGGGGTGATGGAGATGTGGGGGCAATGGGGGTTTCTGGGGTCCCCGGAGGGGTATTTGGGGTCCCCGGGGGGGTATTTGGCTCCCTGTGGGGGGTATTTGGGGTCCCCGGGGGGGTATTTGGCTCCCTGTGGGGGGTATTTGGGGTCCCCGGGGGGGTATTTGGCTCCCTGTGTGGGGTATTTGGGGTCCCCGGGGGGGTATTTGGCTCCCTGTGGGGGGTATTTGGGGTCCCCGGGGGGGTATTTGGCTCCCTGTGGGGGGTATTTGGCTCTGGGGGGGCTCCATCGCTGCCCCCCCGCAGCGGGCCCGGCGCAGTGCGCGGTGCTCAGCGGGTGCCACCACGGGCGCTGCGTGCGCGTCCCCGACGGCTTCACCTGCGCCTGCGACCGCGGCTTCCGGCTCGACCCCGCGCGCCTCGACTGCGTGGGTGAGCGCCAGAGACCCCACTGACACCCACTGACACCCACTGACACCCATTGATCCCCACTGACACCCACTGACACCCATTGACACCCATTGATCCCCACTGACACCCATTGACACCCATTGACACCCACTGACACCCACTGACACCCATTGACACCCATTGACACCCACTGACACCCACTGACACCATTGACACCCATTGACACCAACTGACATCCATTGACACCCATTGACACCCATTGATCCCCACTGACACCCACTGACACCCATTGACACCAACTGACATCCATTGACACCCATTGACACCCATTGACCCCCACTGACACCCACTGACACCCACTGACACCCACTGACACCAACTGACATCCATTGACACCCATTGACACCCATTGATCCCCACTGACACCCACTGACACCCACTGACACCCATTGACACCCACTGACTCCCATTGACACCCACTGACACCCACTGACACCCACTGACACCCATTGATCCCCACTGACACCCACTGACACCCACTGACACCCACTGACACCCACTGACACCCATTGACACCCACTGACACCCATTGATCCCCACTGACACCCACTGACACCCACTGACACCCACTGACACCCATTGAGACCCATTGATCCCCACTGACACCCACTGAAACCCATTGATCCCCACTGACACCCACTGACACCCACTGACACCCACTGACACCCATTGACACCCACTGACACCCACTGACACCCACTGACACCCATTGACACCCATTGATCCCCACTGATCCCCATTGACACCAACTGACATCCATTGACACCCATTGATCCCCTTTGATCCCCATTGACACCCATTGACACCCCCATTGACACCCATTGATCCCCCATTGACACCCATTGAAGTCCATTGATCCCCACTGATCCCCATTGATCTGCATTGACACCCATTGGTACCCATTGGTACCCATTGATGCCCATTGAAACCCCCATTGACACCCATTGATCCCCATTGACACCCATTGATACACATTGACACCCATCCCTCCCCATGACACCCAGACCCCCCCAATAGCACCCAGACCCCCCTTTTACCCCAGGGCGCCCCTCCCTCCCCATAGCACCCATCCCTCCCCATAGCACCCCTCCCTCCCCATAGCACCCCTCCCTCCCCATAGCACCCATCCCTCACCATAGCACCCATCCCTCCCCATAGCACCCCTCCCTCCCCATAGCACCCCTCCCTCCCCATAGCACCCCTCCCTCTCTCCCCATAGCATCCCTCTCTCCCCATAGCACCCATCCCTCCCCATAGCACCCCTCCCTCTCTCCCCATAGCATCCCTCTCTCCCCATAGCACCCCTCCCTCCCCATAGCACCCCTCTCTCCCCATAGCACCCATCCCTCCCCATAGCACCCGTCCCTCCCCATAGCACCCAGACCCCCCCTTTTACCCCCATAGCACCCCTCCCTCCCCATAGCATCCCTCCCTCCCTCCCCATAGCACCCAGACCCCCCCTTTTACCCCCATAGCACCCATTCCTCCCCATAGCATCCCTCCCTCCCTCCCCATAGCACCCAGACCCCCCCTTTACCCCCATAGCACCCCTCCCTCCCCATAGCACCCACCCCTCCCCATAGCACCCCTCCCTCCCCATAGCATCCCTCCCTCCCCATAGCACCCAGACCCCCCCCATAGCACCCCTCTCTCCCCATAGCACCCCTCTCTCCCCATAGCACCCACCCCTCCCCATAGCACCCCTCCCTCCCCATAGCATCCCTCCCTCCCCATAGCACCCAGACCCCCCATAGCACCCCTCTCTCCCCATAGCACCCCTCTCTCCCCATAGCACCCATCCCTCCCCATAGCACCCGTCCCTCCCCATAGCACCCCTCCCTCCCTCCCCCCCATTTTACCCCTCCCCCCCCCAATAACCAGTGCCCCCCTTCCCCCCCCCAGACGTGGACGAGTGCTCGGAGGGCGCCCCCTGCCGGCCCGGAGGCTGCCTCAACACCTCCGGCTCCTTCCGCTGCCTCTGCCCCCCCGGGCACGCGCCCGCGCCCCGCCCCCCCCCGCGCTGCGTGCCCGCGCCCCCGCCCCCCCCCCGCGCATGAGGACCTCCCCTCCCCCCCCCCATCCCCTCCCCCTCCTCCCGGGGCCCTATTTATTGTGTGCTCCGGGGGGGGTCCGTAAGGATGAACGGGGTGGGGTGGGGGGGAGGGGGCACCCATGGGTGCCCCCTGGGGGGGGGGGGTTTGGGGACACCCCCCCCCCCCCCACTTTTATACAATAAAGGTATAAAATAAAGGGTCTTTTGGGGGGGGACCCTCCCCCCCATTGGGAATGGAACCCTCCCCCCCCCATGGGAATGGGACCCCCCCGTGGGAATGGGACCCTCCCCCCATGGGAATGGGACCCAAATTCCTGCCCCCCCCCCCCCCCATCAATGGGCCCATTCAGGCGCCCACGGGTGCTGGAGGATCGCTGAGTCAGCGCATTGCTTGGGTGCATGGGATGCCCGGCAGACGGGATGCGCATAGGGTGCTGTGGGGGTCCATAGGGTGCTATGGGGGTCCCAAGTGTGTTATGGGCATCCCATGGGTGCTATGGGGGATCTATGGGTGCTATGGTGGTCCCAAGTGTGTTATGGAGGTCCTATGGGTGTTACGAGGGTCCCAAGTGTTTTATGGGAATTCTATGGGTGCTGTGGGGGTCCCAAGGGGGCTGTGTTGGTCCTATGGGTGCTGTAGGGGTCCAAAGGCTTCTCAGGGGATCTATGGGTGCTTTAGGGTCCTGAGACTGCTATGGGGGGGCCTATGGGTGCTTTAGGGGTCCAAAGGGGGTGTTCTATGGGTGCTATGGGGGGTACCAAAGGTGCTGTTTTGGTCCTATGGGTGCTATGGTTGTCCCTGGGCAGGCTCGTATGGGTGCTATGGGGGTCCCAAGTGTGTTATGAGGGTCCTATGGGGGCTTTAGGGGTCCAAAGAGGGTATTTTAGGGGTGCTATGAGGGTCCCAAGCATGTTATGGGGATCCTGTGGGTGCTATGGGGGTCCCAAGTGTGTTATGAGAGTCCTATGGGTGCTTTAGGGGCTCAAAGGGGGTGTTCTATGGGTGCTATGGGGGTGCTATGGGGGTCCCAAGAGTGTTATGGGGATCCTATGGGTGCTATGGGGGTCCCAAGTGTGTTATGAGGGTCCTATGGGTGCTTTAGGGGTCCAAAGGAGGTGGTTTATGGGTGCTATGAGGGTCCCAAGCATGTTATGGGGATCCTGTGGGTGCTATGGGTGTCCCTGGGGGGGGCTCCTATGGGTGCTATGGGGGTCCCAAGTGTGTTATGAGGGTCCTATGAGTGCTTTAGGGGTCCAAAGGGGGTGTTCTATGGGTGCTATGAGGGTCCCAAGCATGTTATGGGGATCCTATGGGTGCTATGGGGGTCCCAAGTGTGTTATGAGGGTCCTATGGGTGCTTTAGGGGTCCAAAGGGGGTGTTCTATGGGTGCTATGAGGGTCCCAAGCATGTTATGGGGATCCTGTGGGTGCTATGGGTGTCCCTGGGGGAGGCTCCTATGGGTGCTATGGGGGTCCCAAGTGTGTTAAGAGGGTCCTATGGGTGCTTTAGGGGTCCAAAGGGGTGTTCTATGGGTGCTATGAGGGTCCCAAGCATGTTATGGGGATCCTGTGGGTGCTATGGGGGGGGAGGTTCCCTGGTGCCCCCCCCCATCTCCTCGGTCCCGGCCTCCCACGGGGGGAGCTTTGTGCTGAGTGCCCGAATTCCCGGCATTCCCATGGGATGGGGACAAGGACCCCCCTTGTCTGGGGGGGGGCGGGGGTGGGGGGGGGAGGGGGGATCCCGGGGGGGGGAGGGGGGGACACACAGGGACCAGGGGCACTTCCCAGTGGGACACGGGAGAGGGAAGGAGCCGGAGGTGGGGGGGGGGGGGGGAGGGGGCTCGGAGGGGAGGTTTTGGGGTGCTGGGGGGGGGAGGGGGAAAAGAGGTGCCCCCCCCAATGGGATACAGGAGGATGGGGGGGACACAATGGCAATGGGGGGGTCTTGGGGGGAATGGGAGGGGTTGGGGTGCAATGGGGGTGTCTTGGGGTGCAACAGGGGTTTAGGGGTGCAATGGGGGAGTTTGGGGTGTATTGGGGGGTTTAGGGGGCAATGGGGTTGTAGGGGTGCAAAGGGGACGTTGGGGTGAAATGGGGGTTATTGGGCTGCAAAGGGGGGGTTAAGGGTGCAATGGGGGTGCATTGGGGGTGCTTTGGGGGCGATGGGGGGTTATTGGGCTGAAATGGGGGTTATTAGGGTGCAATGGGGGCTATTGGGGTGCAAGGGGGTTTTAGGGCTGCAATGGGGGGGTATTGAGGTACAATGGGGGTTATTGGGGTGCAATGGGAGTGTATTGGGGTGCAACGGGGGGGTTAAGGGTGCAACGGGGGGGTAGGGGTGCAATGGGGGAGTTAGGGGTGCAATGAGGGGGTAGGGGTGCAATGGGGGGTATTGAGGTACAATGGGGGCTATTGGGGTGCAATGGGAGTGTATTGGGGTGCAACGGGGGGGTTAAGGGTGCAATGGGGGGGTTAGGGGTGCAATGGGGGGGTTAAGGGTGCAATGGGGGGGGTTAGGGGTGCAATGGGGGGGTTAAGGGTGCAATGGGGGGGTTAGGGGTGCAATGGGGGTGTTAAGGGTGCAATGGGGGGGTTAGGGGTGCAATGGGGGGGTTAGGGGTGCAATGGGGGGGTCTCCTTGTCTGTGCCCCCCCATTCCAGAAGCCGGAAGCACCGAAGCCCCCCCCGGGACCCCTCCAGTGCCACCCAATGGAGGTGAGGGGGGGGGGGGCGGTGATGTTTGGGCTGGGGGAGGGGGAGGGGCAGGTTCTGGTCCCACCCCACCCCCCCTTTGCCCCATAGGAGCTGCTGGAGCTCGAGGCCCCCGAGGCCGCGGGTTCGAGGCTGGCGGTGGCGCGGGACCGGCGCGGGCTCTACATCGCCAAGGCCCCGCGGGCGCTGCGGGTGCGGGCGGGTGAGCAGCGGGGGGGGGTCCCGAATCCCGTCTGGATGCGATGGGGGGTCCCGAATCCCGTCTGGATGCGATGGGGGGGTCCCAAATCCCGTCTGGATGCGATGGGGGGTCCCGAATCCCACCTGGATGCGATGGGGGGGTCCCGAATCCCGTCTGGATGCGATGGGGGGGTCCCGAATCCCACCTGGATGCGATGGGGGGGTCCCAAATCCCGTCTGGATGCGATGGGGAGGTCCCGAATCCCGTCTGGATGCGATGGGGGTTCCCGAATCCCACCTGGATGCGATGGGGGTTCCCGAATCCCACCTGGATGTGACGGGGGGGTCCCGAATCCCGCCTGGATGTGACGGGGGGGGTCCCGAATCCCACCTGGATGCGATGGGGGGGTCCCGAATCCCACCTGGATGCGATGAGGGGGTCCCGAATCCCGCCTGGATGTGACGGGGGGGGTCCCGAATCCCGCCTGGATGTGACGGGGGGGGTCCCGAATCCCACCTGGATGCGATGGGGGGTGCCCGAATCCCACCTGGATGCGATGAGGGGGTCCCGAATCCCGTCTGGATGTGACGGGGGGGGTCCCGAATCCTGTCTGGATGCGATGGGGGGGTCCCGAATCCCACCTGGATGCGATGAGGGGGTCCCGAATCCCGTCTGGATGTGACGGGGGGATCCCGAATCCCACCTGGATGCGATGGGGGGGTCCCGAATCCCGTCTGGATGTGACGGGGGGGTCCCTCCACCGCAGGTGACCGCTTGGTGGGCGCCAGGATCCTGTTCGAGGGGGCCCCCCCCGAGGTCGTAGCGCGGCTGCTCGAGGGCGCCGCCGGCTGCCGGGTCTCGCTCTGCGTCCGCCGCCGGGCACCGGGCACCGGCACCGGGACAGCCCCGGTAGGGACCGATGGGAACGGGAGGAGTGGGGGGGCCCGATGGGAGAGGGGCGGTGGGGGACTCCCATGGGGCGGGATGCTGAGGGGGGTCCTATGGGTGCGGAAGGGGGATGCGGGATGCTCCGTGATCCCTATGGACACGGGAGAGGGATGCGGGATGCTCTGTGGTCCCTATGGACATGGGATAGGGATGCAGGATGCTCTGTGGTCCCTATGCCCATGGGAATGGGATGCAGGATGCTCAGAGGTCCCTATGGATTCAGGAGCGGGGTACGGGATGCTGGGGGGTCCCTATGGACACGGGAGAGGGATACGGGATGCTGGGGGGTCCCTATGGACACGGGAGCAGGATGCGGGATGCTCACTGTTCCCTATGGACACGGGAGTGGGAAGCGGGATGCTCCCTGCTCCCTATGCACACGGGAGCGGGATGCGGGATGCTCTGTGGTCCCTATGGACACGGGAGCAGGATGCGGGATGCTCACTGTTCCCTATGGACACGGGAGTGGGAAGCGGGATGCTCCCTGCTCCCTATGGACACTGGGAGCAGGATCCCCGCTGCCCTGTCCCCCCGCAGCCCGTTCCCATCCCGCCCGTTCCCAAGCAGCCTCCGTCGGCCCCGTCCCTGGAGCTGGCGCTTCCCAAACTTCCCAAGCTGGGGAAGAGCCGCAGCGAGGCCGAAGCGGTCCCCGCGGCCCCCCCCGCTCCGGTGCCAGCGCGGCCCCGCTTAACGGTGAAGGAAGCAGCGGGCGGGGGGGCCATGGTGGAGCCACCGGTTAAAGCGGAGCTCCCCGGCGGCGCCCGCTTCCCCGCCGTGGAGGTGGCGGTGCCGGTGCTACCGGTACCGGAGCCCCAGGGCAAAGCCGGCGACGGGGACGCGCTCGGCGGCCTCCGCCTCCCGTCCGTGCCCATCCCCGCCGTGGAGCTGCTGCCCAAAGCGGAACCGAGAGCCCCGGAGCCGCCCTTACCGGTAACGCCGGCCCGTTTGGGGCTCCTGGAGGCGGTGCCGTCGCTCGGGATCGCGGTGCCGCGGGTGGAGGTGGCGCTGGCGCTGCCCATGGGCACCGAAGGGCTCCGCAAGCTCAAACCGGACGCACCGGGGGGCACCGGGGCCGTTAAACCCAGGCTCTCCCGGTTCGCTCTGCCCCGGGTCGGGCTGGCTCTGGGCAAGCTCGGAGCCGGGGCCTCGGTCGGAGCCGGGCCGGGGCCGAGGGTCCCGAAGCTGTCGCTGGCTCCGCTCGGTGCCGCGGTCCCGGTGCCCCCCCGGGCCGGCGCCGGTCTCCGTCGCTCCCGAGGCTGCCACCGGGACCGGAGGCGGGGGTGAAGCTGCGGCGGTTCGGGGGCTCCAGCCCCGATCTGCGCAGCGGGGGGGACCCCAAAGCGGTGCCGGGGTCCCCCGGGGCGCTGCGGGCGCTGCTGGCACCGGGACCCCGCTGCTTCGAGGGAGCGGAGGATGCGGGGGGGGGATTGAAGGTGCCGGGCTTGGAGCTGGCCCCGCCGGGGCTGGAGGCGGAACCGGGGCGCTGGGGGGGGCTCAAAATGCCCCGGTTCGGGACCGGCACGGGGAGGATGAGGCCGGAGGGGGGGGGGAAGAGCATCCCCCCCCCGGGCCGCCCCAATGGGGAGGGCAAAGCCCGGCGCTGGGTCCCCAAGGTGGGTTTCTCCCCCCCGACCCCCCCCCCAAGCCCCCAGCATAAGGGGGGGGTGCGGAGGCTCCACATCCCCGAGGTCGAGCTCTGCCCTCCCGGGCCCCCCCAGCTCCATGCGGGGACCCCCAAGCTGAGCCCTGCGCTCTGTGGGGGGCGCTGAGGAACCCCCCCCCCATGAACCCCCGCCCCATGGACTGGGGGGGGGGGGGGGGCTGGTCGGGACCCCCCCTTAGCATCCTTAACACCCCCCCCCCCAAAATCCGGCTCTTTTGGGGCTGTTTGAAGCTTTTGGATGATGCCATTAACACGGGGGGGGACGGACACACATCCCCCCCCCAGCTTCTTGCTCTTGGCTTGGCTGCAATAAAGGTTTAACCCCAAAATCGGCCCTGACAGTGTCGGGGGGTGGGGTGGGGATGTGGTGGTTTGTGTGGGGAAGTGGGGATGGGGTTCAATGGGATGGGGGGGGGTTTGGGTCCCTGGAGCTGGGTTTTGGTGCCTGGAGCTGGGTTTTGGTGCTTGGGAATGGGTTTTGGTGCTTGGGAATGGGTTTTGGTGCCTGGGGATGGGTTTTGGTGCCTGGAGCTGGGTTTTGGTGCCTGGGGATGGGTTTTGGTGCCTGGAGCTGGGTTTGGGTGGCTGGACTCGGTTCCAGGTTCCAGCATCCCCCATCAGGGTCTCTCAGCTCCTCCCCCGGTGCTGCCCCAAAGAGCCTCCCCCCCCCCCCCCCCATCCACAAGGCAAAAGAGCAGCGAAAATCAGGAGTTTTGGTGCAATTTTCAGCCCAAACAGGCCCGGATTCGGTGCTGCCGGTGCCCACGGTTCCCCGGGGCCTACCGGGAGCCGCAGTGGCTCTGCCAGCGCTCGACATCCCCGATGTCAGCGCTGTACTGGGAGCTCCAGTCCCGCTCAAACACCACCTGCAGCTGCTCCCGGATGGTGCCGGCGCCGGTACCGGTACCGGTGGCACTCACCGTTTGGTTGATCACCAGCGCCGAGCCTGCCGTCTGGGTGAAGTAATCACCGGACCAATTGGAGGTCCCTGCGGTGAGGTTTGGGGTGAGAAAGGTGGGGGGGGACGCCCCAAAACCATCCCCAGAGCCCCGGCGGTGCCGCGCTCACCGATGTATGCGGCCGCCTCCGTCACCATGTACTTGTTGTGGTTGACCCGGGCGTAGGGGATCAGCGCCTGCGCCGCACTCGAAGGCACCATGAAGAGGCGCTGAGGGGAGGGAGCCCACGGTCAGGCACCAGCACTGGCCCCATGGCTGCACTGTGGTACGCCCCATAGCCACACCGTGATACCCCCAACCACACCATGATACCCACCATGACCACACCACGATACCCACCACCACCACACCATGATACCCACCACCACCACACCACCACAGCCATACCATGATACCCACCACGACCACACCACGATACGCACCATGACCACACCACCATGGCCACACCACGATACCCACCACGGCCACGCTGTAACGGGTCCTGTTGTCGGCGACGGCCGCCAGTGACTTGAGGAAGGGGAACATGGTGGCCTGGCTGTGCCGCCAGCAGCCCACCAGCAACCGCACCCTGACGCGCCGCTCCACCACGGCTCGCCGCAGCCCATTATCGATCGCTGGCCAGAACCTATGGGGGGGGGGGGGGGACGGCTTGGGCACTGGCACTGGCAGTGGCCCTGTGCCCCCGGCACCACCGCGGCCGCACCCGGACCTCTGTGGGTGGGAGAACTCGGTGGTGGGCAGGAAACTCATCACCGCAACATCCACGAAGGCCTCGGCGGCATCGATGACGCTGAGCAGGGCGCTGAGGTCCGCGGTGCGCCCGGCGGCACAAAGCGGCGGCGGGGAGCTCTGCGGCACGGCCATGGGCTCAGTGCCGGTGCTGCCGGCGCTCACCGCGGCACCGGGCACGGCGACAAGAAGGGGTTGGGAGGTACCGAGAAGTAGACGGCGGCGGCGGTGCCGTTGAGGCGCAGCTCCAGCGGCGTCTCCGCGTTGAAAGCAGTGGAGTAATTCGCCGGCCACGGCACCGGGATGGTGGCGCCGGCAACGCCGAGAGCCCAATAGGCCTCGAAGATCTTGCCTAAGTCTTGGGCCAAGCAGGGGCAGTCGTAGACAGCAGCGCCGAGCTCCTTCACCTGCGGCACCGGCACGGGGTCGGCTTCAGCCTTTTGGCACGGCACCGGTGATGCTCGGCGTGGGTTTGGCACCGGCCGGCGCCGCTCACCTGGGTCAGGGACCTCCAGTCCATGTTGGCACTGCCCACATAGAGGTGGGTGCCGTCGACCAGCCAGAACTTGGTGTGCAGCACCCCCCCCGTCAGGTGCGGCAGGTCCACGGTGCGCACCGCGGCGCCTGCAGGGGGGCAGGACCCAGGGGTTCGGGGCAGAAGCCATGGGTTTGGGGCAGAAACCATGGTTTTGGGGCAGAAAGCATGGTTTGGGGACAGAAACCATGGTTTTGGGGCAGAAAGCATGGTTTTGGGGCAGAAAGCATGGTTTGGGGGCAGAACCCCTTGGTTTTGGGGCAGAACCCATGGTTTCAGGGCAGAAACCCATGATTCTGGGGCAGAAACAATGGTTTTGGGGCAGAACCCCTTGGTTTTGGGGCAGAAAGCATGATTTTGGGGCAGAAACAACGGTTTTAGGTCAGAAACCCTTGATTTTGGGGCAGACCCCTTGGTTTTGAGGCAGAATAACTCAGTTTTGGGGCACAACAACTCAGTTTTGATGCAGAAACCCTGGTTTTGGGGCAGAACCCCTCGTTTTTGGGGCAGAACAACTCAGTTTTGGGGTGTTTCCATCCCTCACCGCTCTGCTCCAGCGCCAGGAGGTCATTGAGTGGTGCCTTCGCCGATGGGCGGCTGACGGCGACGCGGACGGCGACACCGCGCTCCGGTAACCGGAGCAGCTCCTGCAGGATCTGCTCACCCTGCACCGGCAAAAGGGGGGGTTCGGCATGGAAAAGGGCAGGAAAAGGGGGAAAACCCCTTGGGAATGGGGGGGGAAAGCGGGAATGGGACCTGGGCGGCCGAGGGCTCGGCGGTGCCGGTGTCGGCGTTGGTCATGGTCCAGTAGAAGGAGGCGATGTCCAGGCTGTGCCGGACCGAGCCCAGGAGCTGCATCCAGGTGGAAAAGGTGGAGGGGTTCGGCGGGGAGCCGGCACCAAAGCTCATTCCCTCTGGAATGGTCTCCACAAGGACGATCCTAGGGATGGGAGGGGGGCAGTGGGATGTGGCAATGGGATGGGGACAATGGGATGGGGGCAATGGGATGGGGGCAATAGGATGGGGCAATGGGATGGGGCAATGGGATGGGGGCAATGGGATGGGGGCAATGGGATGGGGCAATGGGATGGGGCAATGGGATGGGGGCAATGGGATGGGGATAATGGGATTGGGGCAATAGGATGGGGCAATGGGATGGCCAATGGGATGGGGACAATGGGATGGGGGCAATGGGATGGGGCAATGGGATGGGGACAATGGGATGGTTCCAATGGGTTGGGGGCAATGCGATGGGGACAATGGGATGGGGCAATGGGATGGTGGCAATGGGATGGCCAATAGGATGGGGACAGTGGGATGGGGGAATGGGATGGTTCCAATGGGTTGGGGGCAATGCGATGGGGGCAATGGGATGGGGGCAGTGGGATGGGGGCAGTGGGATGGGGGAATGGGATGGGGCCAATGGGATGGCATCCATGGGTCCTGCCCCCCCCATCCCCTCTCACTGGCACGAGGCTCCGCAGGCTCTGGCATCGCCACAAGCCCCATGGCTCCGCTCGGGTCCGAGCCGGAGGAGGAGGAGGAGGAACAGGAGGAGGAGGAGGAGGAGGGCGAGGAGCAAAGCGGGGGCCCCCCCCCAGCGGCAGCGCTGGGTGGGCAGGGGGGGGTCGGCATTCCAGAAGTGAGGAATTCCATTGACTCCAAGGGCCCTGCAGTCAGCCTGGGGCAGCGGCTGCAGCTGGGATGGGAGGCAGGGAATGGATCCCAAATCCCAGTGGGATCCATATGGAAAGGTGCCTCCCCCCGCCAAGTGTCAGCAGGGTGGGGATGGGGGTCCCCCCACCGGGCCTGTACCTGCTTGTAGGCGCTGTGGGGCCGCATCCCGATCCCGGCGCCGGGCTGGAACAGGAACAACCGGATCCGGATCCGGATCCTTCCCAAGGCGCCCGGAGGGTTCCAGGGATCGGGAAAAGGGGTTGGGAAAAGAGGTCGGGAAAAGGGGTTGGGAAAAGGGGTCGGGCCCATTTAGCCCCAATTAGCTCCATTGAGCCCCGTTTAGCCCCATTTAGCCTCATTCAGACCCATTTACCCCCATTCAGACCCATTGAACCCCATTTAGCCCCATTCAGACCCATTTAGCCCCATTCAGACCCATTTAGCCCCATTCAGCCCCACTCAGCCCCATTGAACCCCATTTAGCCCCATTCAGACCCATTTAGCCCCATTGAACCCCATTTACCCCCATTTAGCCCCATTTACCCCATTTAGCCCCATTTATCCCCATTCAGCCCCATTTAGGCCCATTTAGCCCCATTTATCCCCATTTAGCCCCATTCAGACCCATTCAGCCCCATTTAGCCCCATTGAATCACATTTAGCCCCATTTAGCCCCATTCTGCCCCACTGAACCCCATTTCGCCCCGTTTCAGGGCCGGTTTCTCTTTAGGGCTGTGTTTAGGTCAGGGTCGGGTTTAGAGCCAGGTTTGAGGTAAAAAAAAACAATTTTGGTCCATTTTAGGGCAGTTTGGGGTTTAGGGACCCTTTTAGGGCCAGGACCGGGCTCGGGCCCCTTCACCCCGGTACCGGAGGCCCCGGCGGCGGCCCCCAGCTCCGCCCGCTTGGGGGCGCCCTCGCCCCCTCCCTCTCTATGGTCGTCCCGCCCGTTGTCTCTCCCGCGCCGCCGCGGCCTAGAGCGTCCCCCTACCTGCGACCAACCAGGAGGGCGAGCGCTGATGACGTCATTTCCGGCGCTCCGTGACAGGGGCTTCCGGTGGGGCCCGGCGCGGCGGCGGGATGGGGCGCGGCGGGAGCGGAGAGGTGAGGGGCGGCAATGGGGGGCTATGGGGGGCTATGGGGCGGATAACGGGAGCCTATGGGGTGGGAGGAGGGGATAAGTGGGGTCTGTGGGGCAGGAGGGGGGTGTATGGGGCAGTAAGAGGGGTTAAGAGGGCCCTATGGGGCAGGAGGGGGGTCTATGGGGCGGGAGAAGGGGAGAAGGGGGGTTTATGGGGCAGGAGGAGGGGATAAGGGGTCTCTATGGGGCGGGAGGGGGGTCTGTGGGCGGGAGAAGGGGATAAGGGGGGTTTATGGGGCCGGAGGAGGGGATAAGGGGTCTCTGTGGGGCGGGAGGGGGGTCTGTGGGCGGGAGGAGGGGATAAGGGGGGGCCTATGGGGCAGGAGGAGTCTATGGGGCCAGGGGGGTCTCTATGGGGCCGGAGTGATCTCTATGGGACAGGGGGGTGTCTATGGGGCAGAGGGGCCTCTGTGGGGCTGGAGGGGTCTCTATAGGGCAGAGAGGTCTCTATGGGGCAGAGGGGTCTCTCTGGGGCTGGAGGGGTCTCTGTGGGACAGGGGGGTGTCTATGGGGCAGGGGGGTCTCTATGGGGCTGGAGGGGTCTCTGTGGGACAGGGGGGTGTCTATGGGGCAGGAGGGGTCTCTATGGGGCAGGGGGGGTCTCTGTGGGGCAGAGGGGTCTCTATGGGGCAGGGGGGTCTCTATGGGGCAGGGGGGGTCTCTGTGGGGCAGGGGGGGTCTCTATGGGGCTGCTCTCCTGTGCCCTCCCAGGCCGCTCCCGGCGCTGCCACCTGACGCCGTGGCCCCACCATGGTGTCCATGACGATGGGTGAGCCCCCCCCCCGCCCCACCTCCCCCCCATCCCCCCTGCCATTCCCATTGACCCCCATCCCATGGGATCCCCCTTGTCCCACTGCAGCCACATCCGAGTGGATCCAGTTCTTCAAGGAAGCCGGGATCCCGCCGGGCCCTGCCGTCAGCTACGCCGTCATGTTTGTGGATAACAGGTACCCCCCCCTTCCATGCATCCCCACGGACGGATCCATAGGGATGGAGCCGGGATCCATGGGGACACCCCTGCGGTATTCCCGAGGGCAGGATCCGGAAGAACATGCTCCTGGATCTCACCAAGGAGCTGATGAACGAGCTGGGCATCACCGTGGTCGGTGACGTCATCGCCATCCTCAAGCACGCCAAGGTGGTCTACAGGCAGGTACGGGCATGGGAATGGGCTCTTCCCATGGGAAGCTGGGAGTTGCCGTCGGTTTCCTTGCATTTTCCATGGATTTGCTTTGGTTTTCCATGAGTTTCCTTGGGTTTTCCATGGGTTTCCTTCATTTTTGCATGGATTTCCTTTGTTTTGCCATGAGTTTCCTTTGGTTTTCCGTTAATTTGCTTTCGTTTTCCATGAGTTTCTTTTGGTTTTCTATGGGGTTTCTATGGTTTTCGTTCATTTTTCCATGGATTTCCTTTGTTTTTCCATGAATTTCCTTTGGTTTTCCCTGGTTTTCCATTGGTGTTTCATAGTTTCTTTTGTTTTTCCATGAATTTGTTTTGGTTTTCCGTGGGTTTCCTTGGGTTTTCCATGGTTTTCCTTCGGTTTGCCATGATTTTCCTGTGGTTTTCCATGGTTTTCCTTTGGTTTTCCATGAGTTTCCTTTGGTTTTCCATGACTTTCTTCCCTCAGGAGATGTGCAAAGCAGCCACGGAATTGCTCCTTCCCAGCTCGCCCCCGGTCCAAGCGGAGCTGCGCCGCAACACCAACAGTGGTGAGCCAGGGTCTCCTCCTTGGGCGGCATTCCGCAGGGATACTGCCCATGGAAGCATGGAATGGGATGGGGTGGACCTCAAAGCTCACCCAGGTCCAAGCAAGGGGCAGGGGCACTTCCACTCTTCCTTCCTCACCCACCCCCCCAGGCCCTTCTCCGAAGGGATTCCTGCTGGGATTTGTCCCATCCCATGGGAATGCTCCCTATCCCCCCCCCGTAGCTGCCAGCCGGATGATTGCCAACAGCCTGAGCCGGGATCCGGTTCCCGCTGCCCCACTCCAGCCCCACGGCTCCAAGATCTCCGTCACCGTTCCCAACCAGCCAGCGGCAGCGAAGGCAGGTAGGGAAAGGGCTGATCCCGCCGGGAATGGTGCCGGGAAGGGCTTTTCCCATCCCATTTCCCATTAAACTCCTCCTCCAACACTTGGGAAGTGCTTTTCCCATCCCATTTCCCATTAAACTCCTCCTCCAACACTTGGGAAGTGCTTTTCCCATCCCATTTCCCATTAAACTCCTTGTTTTCCCTCCATCCCAGCAGGTTTAGGGAATGCCGCCGCCGGAATTCCATCGATCCCGGTGAAGCGGCGCCGGGTGACGGCCGAGATGGAAGGGAAGTACATCATCACCATGCCCAAGGGCACCACGCCGAGGACAAGGAAGATCCTGGCGCAGCAGCAAGCAGCCAAAGGTACCGGCAGGGAATTCCCATCCCAGTATTCCCAGTTCATCCCCATCCATCCCCAATCCCACCTTGTTCCGTTCCATCCCACAGGGCTGCCCAGGACGTCCGTCTTCGACCGCTTGGGAGCCGAGGCGAGGGGGGACGCGGCTGCCGGAGGGAAGGTGAGGGGAATTCCTGCCTGGAATTCGAAGGGAATCTGGGAGGTGTTTCCCCCTCTTCCCGCGGGATGTGGAAGATCCCAAACCCCCTCCAGCAACCCAGGAGAGAGTGGGAATTCCTGGGAGCCGGCCCCATTCCCGCATGGCTCATTCCATCCCGCATCCCGTCGGGAATGGCAATGGAGCTGGGATGCGGGCGCTGACAGGTGCTGCATCCCTTTGCCCTCAGCCCACCGGCGTCTTCAGCCGCCTGGGAGATTCCCTGCGGGATAAATCCATGGATAACGACGACGACGACGATGACGACAGCTCCGTGCTTCCCTACGCCGGGGTCCTGAAGAAACCCAGCGCTTCCCGGAAGGAAATCACGGAGCCGGGAATGCCGGTGAAGGCCAAAGCCAGCAGCTCGGAGGCGAAGCCCGTTCCCAGCCTGCGGAATGCTGCCGGGATCGCGCCAGCGGGAGAAGGGCGAGAGGGCGAGGACGGCGTGAGCAGCAGCAGCGGCGGCGGCGGCAGGGATAAATCCAAGCGGGAATGCCGGGTGATGATCCGGAGGACTTGGGGCTGCGGGAAGGTGAGCAGCTCCAGCGAGGCCAGGATGGACAGCGCCGGCTCCGTCAGCGTCTTCCAGCGCTTGGGAAAGAAATCGGATTGAGATCCGTGGGATCCGGGCAGCGCCATCCCATGGGATCGCGCCCCCCCCCCCCCCCCCCCATGGGGAAAGGGTTGAGCCCTATGGAGGAGGGGTTTTCCGCAGGGAAAGGCTTAATCCAATAGGGAAAGGCTTGATCCCATAGGGAAAGGCTTAATCCCATAGGGAAAGGCTTAATCCCACAGGGAAAGGCTTGATCCCGTAGAGAAAGGCTTAATCCTATAGGGAAAGGCTTGATCCCATAGGGAAAGGCTTAATCCCATAGGAAAAGGCTTAACTCCATAGGGAAAGGTTTGATCCCATAGGGAAAGGCTTGATCCCATAGGGAAAGGCTTAACCCCGTAGGGAAAGGCTTAACCCCATAGTGGAAGGCTTGATCCCACCGGGAAACACTAATCCCATAGGAAAACCGGAGGGAAGAGGAGGAGGAAAACCCTTCCCAAGGGATTCCCTGCCCAAATCTGGGCAAATCCAGCCAAATCATCGCTCCCCATCCTCTCCCTGCCGCTCAACCCTGGGGTTCCCCCCAGTATTCCCGTTCTTTTCCCGTTTTGAGGAATTCTCGCCCGGAGACCTCCGTGCCCAGCCTGGCCTTGCCTTGGTTTTCCCTTCCCTTGCCGCTTGCTTTCTCCCTGGATGCATGGATCCGGGGGGATGGAATCCATTGGGATGGAGTCTGGAGCGGCGTTCCCGAAAAACACCCCAAAACCTTAAAAAAAAACCACTGGGGGGGGCTCAAAAACCAGCAAAACCCCCCCAAAAAACTGCCTTAATTCCCGCCGGCTCCACCGGACGGGGCCTTTCCCTGGGATTCCTCCTTTTCCCCCCCAAATCCGGGCACTTTTCCTCCATTTATTTATTTTCCCCCAGTTCTGTTTCCCCAAAGTTCCCTGGTTTCTTTGGTTCTGCTGCAACCCCCCCCCAAAAAATGCCTTTTTTCTCCCCAAAAACGAAGCTGGGAAGTTTGGGATGAGAAATCTGCCAATTCCCAGGGTTTCCTAGGGAAAAATGGGAGTTCTTTGTATTCATGCCAAAAGAAAACCATTCCTTCATTTCTAATGGGAAAATTCACCAGTTCCTGGGGTTTAATGCAAAAATTCACCAATTCCATCATTTTTTTGATAAAAATTCACCAATTTGTTTGTTTTCATATGAAATTCCTAAATTCCTTCATTTTCAGTGGGCAAATTTACCAATTCCCTTGTTTTTAACAAAAAAACCTCAATTCTTTTATTTTTAATGCAAAAATTCCTGATTATTTCATTTTTAATACAAAAATTCACCAATTTCAGTTTTAACACGGAAATTTACCTATTCCTTTATTTTTAACATGAAAATTCACCAATTCCTTCACTTTTAATACAAAAATTCACCAATTTCACTATTAATATGAAAATTCATGAGTTTCTTCATTTTTAACATGAAAATTCACCAATTCCTTCGTTTTTCTGCAAAAAATCACCATTTTAGGACAAAATCTCACAATTTCCTAATTATTATTAGAAAAAATCACCAATTCCGTTGTTTTTAATGTGAAGTTCATCAATTCCCTCGGTTTTAATGCAAAAATTCACCGATCCATTCATTTTTCATACCAAAATCCCCCAGTTTCCATAGTTTCCCACCCAAATTCCCAGTTTCTTGCTTTTGCCCAGTTTTGGCCCAATTTGGGGGCGTTTCCCTTCCCTTTTTGGGGGGTGGGGGTGTGTGACCCGAGTGCTGTGGGGGTTTTTCCCCCCCATTTTTGACCTTTTTTGGCAATAAAGCGTGGAAATAGTTCTGTTTATGCAAATTAGATGCAAATCCGATGCTTCAAAGGTGTTTTCATGAGCACTGCGCCTGCGCGCCGAGGGGCGGGGCTGCTCTTCGCGCGCATGCGTTCTTTCCGTCGGCGCATGCGCAGCGCGGCCGCTTGGAGGCGAGCGGGGTCGTTCCATCTCCGTGTCCGGTCCCCCCCCTCCGGTTCCGTGTCCCGCCGCCACCGCCCGCTTCCGTTTCCGCTTCCGCTTCTTCCGCTTCCGCCTCCCGACGCGCCGTTGCACCGGGATGAGCGGCGGGAGCCGGCGGGGCCCGCGGCGTCCATGACAGGTGAGGACCCGACCCCCCCCCCCCCCCCGCCAGCGCCATGGACTCGCCCGCCCCCAGCGGTCACCATGGGGACTGCACCACCCGCGCCCCTCCGCGGGGGGGGGGAGGGGGGGGGGGGGCCGCGCTCTGACCCCTTTCCCCCCCCTCCCTATGGCCTCGCAATGGACTCGCCCGCCGCGGGGTCGGGGATGCGGCGGGGAGCGAACCACGCGCTGCGATGGGGGGGGCTATGGGGGCTCTATAGGGCCATGCAGGCAATGGGGTGGTTCTATAGGGCCCATGCAGGCAATGGGGGGGTTCTGTAGGGTCCATGCATGTCTGGAGGTGTTCTATAGGGCCATGCAGGCAATGGGGTGGTTCTGTAGGGTCCATGCAGGTGCTGGGGTGGCTCTATAGGGCCCCAGAAAGATCTGGGGGTGTTCTGTAGGGCCATGCAGGCAATGGGGGGGTTCTATAGGGCCCATGCATGCAATGGGGTGGTTCTGTAGGGTCCATGCAGGTGCTGGGGTGGCTCTATAAGGCCCCAGGAAGATCTGGGGGTGTTCTATAGGGCCCATGCAGGCTCTGGGGGCCCCATGGAGCCATGCTGAAGGGGTTTGGGGTGTGCTTTCTTCCCCCCTATGGCTGCGGGGTGTTGGGGTCACTCAGTGGGGGATCCATATCCCAAGGGATGGGAATGGCTGAATCCTTTTTATCCCATTCCATTCCCATCCCATTCCACTCCCATCCTACTCCCATCCCATTCCCATCCCACTCCCATCCCATTCCCATCCCATTCCCATCCCACTCCCATCCCATTCCCATCCCATTCCCATCCCACTCCCATCCCATTCCCATCCCATTCCCATCCCATTCCACTCCCATCCTACTCCCATCCCATTCCCATCCCACTCCCATCCCATTCCCATCCCATTCCCATCCCACTCCCATCCCATTCCCATTCTCATCTCATTCCCATTCCATTCCCATCCCATTTCCATCCCATTCCCATTCCCATCTGCAGGTCCTGGCCAGCCTTAGCCCCGGCGCCGCCATGACCGAGGTGCTGGTGGTGAAGGAGGGGTGGCTGCACAAGCGAGGTGAGACCAGCAGCAATGGGGGGGGGGGTGTGTGTGTGTCTGTGCTTCCCATCCCAGCTTCCCGCATCCCAACCTCCCCCATCCTAAATCCCCGCATCCCAAATTCCCAGGGGAATACATCAAAACGTGGCGGCCCCGCTACTTCCTGCTCAAGAGCGACGGCTCCTTCATTGGATACAAGGAGCGGCCGGAGAGCCCGGAGCAGGCGCTGCCCCCCTCAACAACTTCTCTGTGGCCGGTAAAGGGGGGGCAGTGGGGCTGGGGGGGGCCACGTTGGGCTGTGGGGGTTGCGGCCTTGGTGGTCCATGAGGTGTTGGGAGCATCCTTGGTACCCATAGGGGACACGTTGGGCTATGGGGGATGTGGCCTTGGTGGTCCATGAGGTCATTGGAGCATCCTTGGTACCCATAGGGGACACGTTGGGCTATGGGGGATGTGGCCTTGGTGGTCCATGAGGTGTTGGGAGCATCCTTGGTACCCATAGGGGACACGTTGGGCTGTGGGGGTTGCGGCCTTGGTGGTCCATGAGGTCATTGGAGCATCCTTGGTACCCATAGGGGACACGTTGGGCTATGGGGGATGTGGCCTTGGTGGTCCATGAGGTGTTGGGAGCATCCTTGGTACCCATAGGGGACACGTTGGGCTATAGGGGATGTGGCCTTGGTGGTCCATGAGGTGTTGGGAGCATCCTTGGTACCCATAGGGGACACGTTGGGCTATGGGGGATGTGGCCTTGGTGGTCCATGAGGTGTTGGGAGCATCCTTGGTACCCATAGAGGGGATGCTGGGCTATGGGGGATGCAGTGTTGGTGGTCCATGAGGTGTTGGGACCCTGCTGAGCATCTTGGCAGCATCTTTGGGGTCCTGAGGGCAGCTCTATGGGGACGTTGGTCTCTGGTCCATGGGACACACGAGGAGAAGGGAGGGCAGGGACCGTGCAGCCCCCTGGATGGGGGCCTCCTGCCCTGCTCCCCGGTGCTGGGATCTGGGATGCGGATCCTTGCTCCCAAAGCATCCTGCTTGGAACGCAGAGTGCCAGCTGATGAAGACAGAGCGCCCGCGCCCCAACACCTTCGTCATCCGCTGCTTGCAATGGACAACGGTCATCGAGAGGACGTTCCACGTGGATACCCCGGAGGAGCGGTGCGGGAATGCTGCATTCCCATGGGAATGATGGGGGGAGGTGGGGGAGCGGGGCGGGCAACCAACAACCCCCCCCCCAGGCTCCCTCATCTCATCCCTCTTCCCATCCCCTAGCGAGGAGTGGATGCGCGCGATCCAGACGGTGGCCAACAGCCTCAAGCAGCAGGAGCCAGAGGTGGATCCCATGGGATACAAGTGCGGATCCATGGACGGCCCCGGCGCCGAGGAGATGGAGGTGGCCATGGGCAAATCCCGCGCCAAGGCTGTGAGTGGGAACGGGGGCGGGAATGGGAGCGGTCCACGGGATAAAGCTTTGTTACAGGCTTTTCCCATCCCGGATCCGTGAATTCTGGGCTTTTCCCATTCCCAGACCATGAACGACTTCGATTACCTGAAGCTCCTGGGAAAAGGGACCTTTGGGAAGGTCATCCTGGTGCGGGAAAAGGCCACCGGGCGCTACTATGCCATGAAGATCCTGCGGAAGGAGGTCATCATCGCCAAGGTGGGGCCGGGATCCGCGTGGATCCGCACCGGGATCACCCCGGCGTTCCCTGCGGATCCCGGCACTGACTGCACCTCCCTTCCCAGGATGAAGTGGCTCACACCGTGACCGAGAGCCGGGTGCTGCAGAACACCCGGCACCCCTTCCTCACCGTAAGCACCGCCCCCCCCCGCCCCAGCCCCTCCATCCCTATGGAGCTTCCCTAAAATCCCCCTTTTCCAGGCCCTGAAATACGCTTTCCAGACCAACGACCGCCTCTGCTTCGTCATGGAATACGCCAACGGTGGCGAGGTGGGAGCTGCCCCCCTTTATCCCAGTGTATCCCGCTTTATCCCTGAAGTCTCCCTTCAGGAGCGTTCCCCATCATCCACAGGGATTGGGGAGCGTTTTAAAGCCTTCCTTGATCCCGATTCTCCCGTTTTCCCTGCCCTTTCCCAGCTCTTTTTCCACCTCTCGAGGGAACGCGTCTTCACCGAGGATCGGGCTCGCTTCTACGGCGCCGAGATCGTCTCGGCCTTGGAATACCTCCATTCCCGGGATGTGGTGTACCGGGATATCAAGGTACCGCTGCCACTTCAGCCCTTGCCTTGGCCCTCCTGCGCCTGGTCCCGATCCCAATCCTGATCCCAGTCCTGGATCTGATCCTGATCCTGGTACTGGGTCTGATCCCGATCCCAATCCTGGTCCTGGTCTTGATCCTGATCCTAATTTCGATCCCTGTCCCGATGCTGTTCCTGGTCCCAATCCTGATTCTGGTCCTGATCCTGGTCCCAGTCCTGGTACTGGGCCTGTTCCTTACCCTGGTTCCAGTCCTGATCCCAGTACCGGTCCTGACCCTGATCCCGGTACCGATCCTGATCCCGGTACCGGTCCTGATCCTGATCCCGGTCCCTCTCTCAGTCCCAATCCTGATCCTGATCCTGGTCCCAGTCCTGATTCCGGTCCCTATCTGGGCCCCAGTCCAGATCCTGATCCTGGTCCCAATCCTGATCCTGGTTCTGCTTCCCTCCCTGAGCTTTGTGCAGTGGGGGCTGCATCCTTCCCGCTCCATCCCTATTCCTTCTTTTCCAGCTGGAAAACCTGATGCTGGACAAGGACGGGCACATCAAGATCACCGACTTCGGCCTCTGCAAGGAGGGCATCAGCGACGGCGCCACCATGAAGACCTTTTGTGGCACCCCCGAGTACCTGGCGCCGGAGGTATCCATGCCCGTATCCATAGGGATAACACCCCCATAGCGAGCACATCTCTGCCTGTATCCATAGTGATAACACCCCCATAGGGAGGGTATCCCAGCCTCTATCCATCCCCCATAGGGAGGGTATCCCAGCCTCTATCCATCCCATAGGGAGGGTATCCCTGCCTGTATCCATAGGGATAACAACCCCACAGCCCGTATCCATAGCAACACCCCCATAAAGAGCATATCCTTGCCCGTATCCATAGGAATAACAACCCCATAGTGAGCGCATCCCTGCCCGTATCCATCATGATAACAACCCCATAGCCCGTATCCATAGCAACACCCCCATAGCGAGCACATCCCTGCCTGTATCCATCATGATAACAACCCCATAGCCTGTATCCATAGCAACACCCCCATAGCGAGTACATCCCTGCCTCCATCCATCCCATAGGGAGGGTATCCCTGCCTGTATCCATAGGGATAACAACCCCACAGCCCGTATCCATAGCAACACCCCCATAAAGAGCGCATCCCTGCCCGTATCCATAGGGATAACAACCCCACAGCCCGTATCCATAGCAACACCCCCATAAAGAGCGCATCCCTGCCCGTATCCATAGGGATAACAACCCCATAGCCCGTATCCATAGCAACACCCCATAGCGAGCGCATCCCTGCCCGTATCCGTCGCGATAACACCCCGGGGCCTCATCCTGCCCCCCCGCAGGTGCTGGAGGACAACGACTACGGGCGCGCCGTGGACTGGTGGGGGCTGGGGGTGGTGATGTACGAGATGCTCTGCGGCCGCCTCCCCTTCTACAACCAGGACCACGAGCGCCTCTTCGAGCTCATCCTGCTCGAGGAGATCCGCTTCCCCCGCAGCCTCGCGCCCGACGCCAGGGCCCTGCTGGCCGGGCTGCTCAAGAAGGACCCCAAGCAGAGGTGAGGTGGGGGGGAGGTGACTGATCCTGAGCCCGGTCCTCATCCCGGTCCTGGTCCTGATCCTGGTCCTGGTCCTGATCCCAGTCCTGATCCCGCTCCTGGTCTTGATCCTGATCACGGTCCTGGATCTGATCATGATCCTGATCATGGTCCTAATCCTGGTCCTGATCCTGATCCCGGTTCTGAGCCTGGTCCTGGTCCTGATCCCATTCCTGGATCTGGTCCCAGTCCTGCTCCTGGTCTTGAACCTGGTCCTGATCTGGGTCCTGATCCCAGTCCTCATCCTGGTCCTGGGCTTGATCCTGATTCCAGTCCTTGTCCTGATCCTGATCCCAGTCCTGGTCCCAGTCCTGATCCTGCTCCTGGTTCCAATCCCAGTCCTGATCCCAGTTCTGATGCTGGGTCTGATCCCAATCCCAATCCCAATCCTGGTCCTGATCCCAATCCCAATCCTGATCCCAATCCTGATCCTGGTCCTGATCCCGGTCCCCATCCTGATCCCGGTCCTGTTCCCCGGGCAGGCTCGGGGGGGGGCCCAGGGACGCGCAGGAGGTGATGGAGCACCGCTTCTTCGCGCCCATCAACTGGCAGGACGTGGTGCAGAGGAAGGTGAAGGCCCCCGGGGGCACCCTGACCCCCCCCCAGCACCCAGAGACACCAAACCCCCCTCCTATAGCACCCAAAGGGACCCCAAACACAACCCCCCCCCCAGCACCCAGGGGGACCCAAACCCCTCCACAGCTCCTAAAGGGACCCAGACCCTCCCATAGCACCCAAAGGGACCAAACCCCCCCCATAGCACCCAGAGGGACCCAACCCCCCCCACAGCACCCAGAGGGACCCAACACCCCCCATAGCACCCAGAGGGACCCAACACCCCCCATAGCACCCAGAGGGACCCAAACCCCTTCATAAAACCCAAAGGGACCCCAAAACCCCCATAGCACCCAGAAGGACCCGAACCCCCCATAGCAACCAGGGGGGCCCCATAGCACCCAAAGAGACCCACCACCCCCCAGCACCCAAGGGCCCCCCCGCACTCATGGGTGCCCCCCCCCCCCGCAGCTGGTGCCCCCCTTCAAGCCGCAGGTGACGTCCGAGGTCGACACCCGCTACTTCGATGACGAGTTCACGGCGCAGTCCATCACCATCACCCCCCCCGACCGCTGTGAGCGGGGCCCGGGGCGGGGGGGACCCACACAGGGGCTGGGACCTCCCATTGGGCACCATGGGGGGGCTGGGAGCTTCCATTGGGCACCATGGGGGGGGGTTGGGGGGGCTGGGAGCTTCCATTGGGCACCACTGGGGGGGTTTAGGGGTGCTGGGAGCTTCCATATGATGGGTTTGGGGGTGCTGGGTCCTCCCATTGGGCACCATTGGGGGGAGTTATGGGGTGCAGGGACCCCCATGGGGGCGTTGATGAGGGGCTGGGAGCCCCCATTGGGCACTAGTGTGGGGGACTGGGGTGCTGGGACCGCCATGGGGGTGTTTGGGGTGTGCTGGGACCCCCCACTGGGCACCACTGGGGGGGTCTGGGGGTCCTGGGACCCCCCCAGTTCGGGGGCATTGGGACCTTCTGTTGGGCACCATTGGGGGCACTGAGGTGCAGGGACCCCCAGGGGGGGGTTGGGGTGCTGGGATCTCCCATTGGGGGGGTCTGGGGGTGCCCCCCCCTCACCCCCTCGCTGTTCCCCGCAGACGATGCCCTGGGCTCCCCGGAGGGCGAGCACCGGACGCACTTCCCGCAGTTTTCCTACTCCGCCAGCATCCGGGAATGACGGAGCCGGAGCCGGGGGGGACGGGACGGGACCTAGAGGGCAGGACCCCCCCCCCCAATGGGCTCCATCCAGCCCCACGCTGCTGGCTCTGCCGTGAAGCCAATTGGATCCCAAGCGGATCCCAAGCGGAACTCAACGGGATCCCAAGCGGATCCCAACCAGATCCCAGTAGGGACTCAACTGGATCCCAAGCGGATCCTAATCAAGACTCAACTGGATCCCAAGCGGATCCCAACTGAACCTCAACCAGATCCCAACCGGATCCCAATCAGGACTCAGCTGGATCCCAAGTGAAACACCAGGATCCCAACCAGGACTCAACTGGGTCCCCACCGGGATTCAACTGGATCCCAACCAGCACTCAGCTGGATCCCAACTGGGATTCAACCAAATCCCAACCAGCACTCAGCCGCATCCCAACTGGATCCCAACCGGGATTCAACCAGATCCCAACCAGCACTCAGCTGCATCCCAACTGGATCCCAACTGGGATTCAACCAGATCTCAACCAGGACTCAGCCTCATCCCAACTGGATCCCAACCGGATCCCAACCAGCACTCAGCCGCATCCCAACTGGATCCCAACCGGATCCCAACCAGGACTCAGCCTCATCCCAACTGGATCCCAACCGGATCCCAACCAGGACTCAGCCGCAACCCAACTGGATCGCAACCGGGATTCAGCCAGATCCCAACCAGGACTCAGTCGCATCCCAACTGGATCCCAAACGGATCCCAACAAGGACTCAGCCGCATCCCAACTGGATCCCAACCGGATCCCAACCAGGACTCATCCACATCCCAACTGGTTTCCAACTGGAATTCCACCAGATCCCAACCAGGACTCAGCTGCATCCCAACCAGGACTCAGCCGCATCCCAACCGGAATTCCACCGGATCCCACCCAGATCCCCCCCATGGTTGTGGGGATGGACGCCACCCCCCCTGCCCTGACCCCCCCCCCACCATTTGGCTTCGCCGGTGCCTTACCCGCGGTGACGGCGTCACTGGATCCCGCTCCCGGTATTCCCGGTATTCCCGGCCGGCCTCACGGGGTGAATTGACTCAAAGTGGGGGGGAGGGGGGGCAAAACGGGGGATCCCCCCTCCCCCACCCCCCTTCCTGCCCCTCCCCCCCCCCAGGCGGTACGAGCAATAAACCGGGAATTTTTTGGGATTTGGGGCGTTTTTTGGTGCTGTTTTTTGGGGGATCCGGATGCGGCTCCCGGGCAGGGGCGGGGGGCTCAGAGGTGCAGGAATTCCGCCACGAAGACGAGCAGGATGCGGGTGAGATCCACCAGGGTCGGCGGGTGCAGGTTCCGCTCCGTGTCGTCGGGGGTGTGCCAGGCCGGCGGGAAGGGCAGCGGGATCAGGTGCAGCACCGGCACCCCTGCGGCACAGCGCGGCACCAACGGGATAACCGGGTATTTGGGGTAGGGGGTATGGGATAGGGGATAGAGGGAATGGGATATAGGGAATATATGGGGTATGGGATATGGGACATGGGATTGGGATATGGAATATAGGATGTGGGACATGGGATATGGGATATAGAATATGGGATATAGGATGTGGGATATTGGATATGGGATATAAGATATGGGATATAAGATATGTGATATAGAATATGGGGTATGGGATATGGGATGTGGTATATAGGATATGGGATATGGGGTATAGGATACGGGATATAGGATCTGGGATATAGGATATGGGATATAGGGATATGGGATATCAGATATGGGATATGGGATACAGGATATGGTGTATGGAATATATGATACAGGATACGGGATACAGGATATGAGATACAGGATATGGGATACAGGATATGGGATATAGAATATGGGATATAGGATACTGGGTACGGGATGTGGGATGTGGTACCCAGGCGCACCTCTCTGCAGGAAGGGGATGTGATCGTCCTCCACAGGCCCCGGGGCCGGGCTGAGGCGGAAGAAGGGGGGGTCCTGGGGGGTGGCGTGGAGCAGCCCCAGGCGCCGCAGCCGCTGCTCTGGGGGAAGGGGGGAATGTGAGGTCTGAGACCCCCCACCGTGCCCCACACCCCCCCCAGGTCCTTCACCCCACACACAGCCCCCCCCCGATGCGCACCGATGTGGACGAGGCGCAGGAACCAGTGGTGGGTGCTTGGGAAGTGGCTGTGGATGGCGGGGTCCCGAGCGCCCAACAGGTCCAGCAGCACCAGCAGGCTCTGGGGACAGCAATGGGGCATCAGTGGGGGCATCAGTGGGGCATCAGTGGGGGCAGCAATGGGGCATCAGTGGGGGCAGCAATGGGGTTGTCAACGGGGACATTAATGGGGGATGTCAATGGGGACATTAATGGGGGATGTCAATGGGGACATCAATGGGGGCAGCAATGGGTGTATCAGTGGGGACGTCGATGGGGACATTAATGGCGGATGTCAATGGGGACATTAATGGGGGATGTCAATGGGGACATCAATGGGGGCAGCAATGGGTGTATCAGTGGAGATGTCGATGGGGACATTAATGGCGGATGTCAATGGGGACATCAATGGGGACAGCAGTGGGGACACCAATGGGGGTGTCAATGAGGACATCAGTGGGGACATGGCGACAGCAATGAGAGCATGGGGACATCAATGAAAACACGGAGACATCAGCATGGGGACCCCACTATGGCCATGGGGACACCAACAGCACCATGGGGACACCACTATGACCACGGTGACACTGGCATGGCCATGGGGCCCCCCTTGTGCCCATAGGGACTCCCCTGTTCCTATAGGGACCCCCCTGTGCCCATAGGGACCCCCCTGTGCCCATAGGGACTCCCCTGTTCCTATAGGGACCCCACTGTGCCCATAGGGACCCCCCTGTGCCCATAAGGACCCCCCTGTGCCCATAGGGACCCCACTAAGCCCAAAGGGACCCCGGGCTCACGATGGCGCTGAGCTGGGTGCCGGGGCCGCCGCGGTGCCGCGTGGCTGCCATGCGCGCCGCCAGGTGCCGGGCCCCGTACAGGGAATCGGTGGCGCTCCAGGCCTCGAAGGCCTCCTCCCCATCCAGGAAGAGGAGCTGCAGCGTGGCCTCGGCGCCCTGCAGGGTAACAACGGGATAATGGGATAACGGGATGGGGGATAACGGGATAACGGGATGGGGGATAACGGGATAACAGGATGGGGGATAACGGGATGGGTGATACGGGATAACGGGATGGGGGATAACGGGATAATGGGATGGGGGATAATGGGATAACGGGATGGGGGATAACGGGATGGGTGATACGGGATAACGGGATGGGGGATAACGGGATAACGGGACGGGGGATAATGGGATAACGAGATGGGGGATAACGGGATAACGGGATAGGGGATAACGGGATGGGGGATAACGGGATGGGGGATACGGGATAACGGGATGGGGGATAATGGGATGGGGGATACGGGATAACGGGATGGGGGATATGGGATAACGGGATGGGGGATAATGGGATAATGGGATGGGGGATAACGGGATGGGGGATAACGGGATGGGGGATACGGGATAACGGGATGGGGGATATGGGATAACGGGATGGGGGATAATGGGATAACAGGATGGGGGATAATGGGATAATGGGATGGGGGATACGGGATGTGGGATGCGCAATGTGGGACATGGGATCCCCAATATGGTACATGGGAATCCCACTGTAGCCCATTTCACCCTCATTATGGCCCATTTCACCCCATTATAACCCATTTCACCCCATTATGCCCCATTTCACCCCATTATAACCCATAGGGACCCCATTATAACCCATTTCACCCCATTATAACGCATAGGGACACCACTGTAACCCATAAGGACACATTATATCCCATTTCACCCCATTATAACCCATAGGAACCGCATTACGTCCCATTTCAGCCCATTATAACCCATAAAGACCCCATTATAACCCATAGGGGCCCCATTATAACCCATAGGAACCCCATTATCACCCATAGAGACCCCCTTATAACCCATTGCACCCCATTACAGCCCATAGGGACCCCATTCTAACCCATAAGGACCCTATTCCAACCCATAGGGACGCCATTCTACCCCATAGGGACTCCATTATACCCCTAGGGGACCCAACTCTGCCCCATGGGGCCCCCTCCCGGCGCCCACCTCATCCCGGGCGCGGCGCAGGGGCCGCTCGAGCGCTGCCGCCAGCTCGAGGATGGCGGCGCAGGGCGCAGCCGAGTCCACGGCGCCCACGAAGGGGGCGGCCGCCGGCAGCACCTTGGTGTCGTAGTGGCAGGCGAGGGCCAGGCGCCGCGCGGCGCCGGGGGCCGCCGTGGCCACCACGTTGGTGAAGGGGACGGGGCCCCGTGGCGTGGCCGCGGTGAAGGCGTCGAGCTCCACGTGCCAGCCCAGCGCCTCCAGGCAGGCGGTGATGTGCTGTGGGGCATTAGGCAAGGGGGATCAGTGGGGTCATGGGGGGTCAGTGGGGGTCAATGGGGGGCAATGGGGGGCAATGGGGGGCAATAGGGGTCAATGGGGGTCAATGGGGGTCAATGGGGGGCAATAGGGGTCAATGGGGGTCAATGGAGGTCAATGAGGATCAATGGGGATCAATGGGGGTCAATGGGGGATCAATAGTGATCAGTGGGGTCACTGGAGGTCAATGGGGGTCAATGGGTGTCAATGGGGATCAATGGGGGTCAATGGGTGTCAATGGGAGTCAACGGAGGTCAACAAGGATCAATGGGGGTCAATGGGGATCAATGGTGGACAAATAGGGATCAACATCATCATCAGTGGATGTCAATGGGGATCAATGGGGTCAATGGGGATAAAGAGGTATCAATGGGCATCAATGGGTATCAATGGCAATCAATGGCGATCAATGTCTATCAATGGGGGATCAATGGGGATCAATAGGGATTAATGAGGACCATTAGGGGTCAATGGCAATGAACGGGGATCAGTGGATCCCAACGGGGGTCAATGGGGATCAGTGGGGATCAATGGAGGTCAATGGGTGTTACCTGGCGCACGGCGCGGCTCCCCGGCCCCCCGGCACCCGCTCCCGCAGGAAGGGCCTCAGGAAGCGCTGCTGGAGCCGGGATGGATCCAAGCGCTCCAGGAGCTGCCGCAGGGACCGGTCCGAGGAGGGGGGGGGCACGGAGGGGGGGAGCTGGAACGGGGGCAAATGGGGAGGGGGTGGTTTGGGTGCCCCTATAACGGGGTGCGGGGGGGTCTGGGTGCTCCCATGATGGGGTCTCGGGGGGTCTGGGTGCCATTGAGGGGGTCTGGGTACCCCTATAATGGGGTCTGTGGGGGTCTGGGTGCCATTGGAGGGGTCTGGGTACCCCCATGATGGGGTCTGAGGGGATCTGGGGGCCATTGGGGGGTCTGGGGGCCATTGGGGGGGTCTGGGTACCCCCATGATGGGGTCTGAGGGGGTCTGGGGGCCATTGGGGGGATCTGGGTGCCCCCATGATGGGGTCTAGAGGGGTCTCGGTGCCATTGTGGGGGTCTGGGTGCCACTGGGGGGATCTGGGCGCCCCCATGATGGGGTCTAGAGGGGTCTGGGTGCCATTGGGGGGATCTGGGTGCCCCCATGATGGGGTCTGAGGGGTCTGGGTGCCATTGGGGGGATCTGGGTGCCACTGGGGGGGTCTGGGTGCCCCCATGATGGGGTCTAGAGGGGTCTGGGTGCCATTGGGGGGGGCTGGGTGCCCCCATGATGGGGTCTAGAGGGGTCTGGGTGCCATTGGGGGGGTTTGGGTGTCCTCATGATGGGGTCTAGAGGGGTCTGGGTGCCATTGGGGGGATCTGGGTGCCACTGGAGGGGTCTGGGTGCCCCCATGATGGGGTCTGAGGGGTCTGGGTGCCATTGGGGAGATCTGGGTGCCACTGGGGGGGTCTGGGTGCCCCCATGATGGGGTCTGGGGCTCGGGGGTTCTCAGGGATGTTGGGGTCCGTGGGGTCCCGATGCCCCCCCCCCTCCCCGCTCACCGGGCCGCGGTCCCGCTCCCCCCGGGGCCAGGCGCTGTAGAGGAGCCCGGCGGCGGCCGCCAGCGCCAGCAGCGGCAGCAGCGGCCGCGGGCAGCGGCGGGGCCGGGGCAGAGCCCGGCAGCGGCCACCGCGACCGGGACCGGGACCGGGACCGGGACCGGGCCGGGCCCCGAACCCGCGGCCGCGGGCGGCGGGACCCTGCGGCGCCCTTCCGCATGGCGAGGGGCGGGGCCGGCGGGAGACGCGGCCGCCGCGGATTGGGCGATGCGGAGGGCTCGGACCCGCCCCCTTCTGGTCCGCGAGCGGCGCGCCCGGAGCCTGGGCGGAGCAGCGTCGGTGTGATGTCATGGGCAACGTGTGACGTCACGGTGACGATCGGGGTGTCCCCGATATGATGTCACCGGCACCCTCCATAGTGTTATTGCTATGGGGCCAGCACCCTCCATAGGGTCATTGCTATGGGGCCAGCATCCTCCATGGGGTCACTGCTATGGGGCCAGCACCCTCCATAGGGTTATTGCTATGGGGCCAGCATCCTCCATGGGGTTATTGCTATGGGGCCAGCATCCTCCATAGGGTTATTGCTATGGGGCCAGCATCCTTCATAGGGATATAGCTATGGGGCAACCACCCTCCATAGGGTTATTGCTATGGGGCCAGCATCCTCCATAGGGTTATTGCTATGGGGCCAGCATCCTCCATAGGGATATTGCTATGGGGCGAGCACCCTCCATAGGGTTATTGCTATGGGGCCAGCATCCTTCATAGGGATATAGCTATGGGGCAACCACCCTCCATAGGGTTATTGCTATGGGGCCAGCATCCTTCATAGGGATATAGCTATGGGGCAACCACCCTCCATAGGGTTATTGCTATGGGGCCAGCATCCTCCATAGGGTTATTGCTATGGGGCCAGCATCCTCCATAGGATCATTGTCATTGTGCCAGCACCCTCCATAGCATCATTGCTAAGGGGCCAGCACCCTCCATAGGGTCATTGCTATGGGGGCAGCACCCTCCATAGGGGCACTGCCATGGGGCCAGCGCCCTCTATGAGGCCATTACCATGAGGCCAGCATCCACCATGGGGTCATCACCATGGGACCAGCACCCTCCATAGGGTCATTGCCATGGGTCCAGGACCCTCCATTGTTCCAGCACCTTCTGTAGGATCATTGCCATGGGGCCAGCATCCTCCATGGGGTCATTGCCATGGGGCCAGCACCCTCCATGGGTCCAGCACCTTCTGTAGGATCATTGCCATGGGGCCAGCATCCTCCATGGGGTCATCACCACAGGGCCAGCATCCTTCGTGGCGCCAGCATCCCCACCCCCATGCCAAACTGCCCCCCCCGGCATTTCCACACCAAAATCGCTCTTTTTGGTTTTCATTTTCTTTTCTTCCTCCTCCATCACCCCAACCCCTCACCCCCCCCGCCCTCCCCCAGACCCCCCCATTCCCCCCCCTCCCCCTTCACCTCCCATCGTCACGCCGCGGCGCCGGATGCACCCAGTGGTTATCGTGCAGCCCCACGCGGCAGCCCGGCGCCTCCTTGTCGGGCCGGCGGCAGCACATCCAATAGGAGCGGCCGTAGGGCAGGTCGTGGTGGTAGGGCTTGGGGTGCCAGCGGCACAGCGACACGTCCCCCTTCTCGTAGCGCTTGCGGCACTGCTTGCAGGGGTCGTCGCGGTAGAGCGGGTCCCGGGTCCACCGCGAGTCGGTGGCGCGGACGCCGAAGGTCTCGATGAGGGACTTGAAGTAGTGGCAGGAGCACTTGAGGGCGGCCAGCGCCTGGGTGGGCAGGTAGCTGAAGATCTTCACCATGACGTGCTCCGGCAGCAGCAGCATGTACTGCCGCGGCTCCAGCAGGCGCTGGATCTTGAACCGGATCTCCAGGAAGTCATGGGACACGTGGCGGTACAAGCGGCACAGCGACGGGTCGGCCGCCGACGACACCGCCTCCGGGTCCGGTGCCGCCGCCGCCGCCGGTTCGTCGGCGATGGGGAAGAGGAAGAGCTGCCCCGGCGGCGGCGGCGGCGGCGGGGAGGGCTCGTCCTTGGGTGCCGCCGGCAGCCTCACCGTCTCCTCTGTCACCTGCTTGGCGCTGTCCTTGCCGTAGAACACGCACTGGTCCACGACGCCAGTCACCACCACGTCCACGTGAAAGCCGGCGGCACAATCCCGCCCCGGCGCCGCCTCCGCCGAGCCCTCGCACGTGTCCGCCTTGGCCGACGGTGACGCCGCACCCTCGCCGCGCACCGCGGTGCTGGCATCGCCGTCCCCACCATCGCCCTTGGGCCCGGCGGCGGCCAGGAGCAGCTCCACGTTGGTGGGGAGCACGTCCCGGGAGGGGCTGATCAACCGGTACAGGTCGCACGTGATCTTGTCCTTGGCGCGGCCACCGGTGCCGGTGCCGCTCACGAACACACAGCCGGGCCGGGCGGCACCGCCAGGATCGGGGCCGGCGGCGGGGCCGGCGCGGGGCTCGCGGCCGCTGGCAATGCGGAAGGCGATGCGGACCTCGCCAGGCGCCGCCGGGGCCGCTGCCGCGGTGCATTCAGCGCCAGGCCTGCACAAGCCGTTGGGCCTGGCGGCGCCATCGCGGTGCCGCGACTCGAAGTGGGCGACGGCCTCGGCCACGCGGCTGCAGTCGGCGGCGCTTGGCGCTTTGGCGTCGCCACCCGGCGCCTCCAGCAGCACCGGGGGGAAGCTCTGCAGCGCCAGCGCCGCGCGCTGCTCCACCAGCGCCACCATCTCCGCCACCGACACCAGCTCGGGCGCCTCAGCCGCCTCCTCGCCGGCGCCCGCCGCGCTCACCTTGGCCTTGACGGGCTCGTGGCAGCGCCGGCGCCGCTTGGCTTTGGAGCTGCCGCTGCCCCAGTTGCCCTTCACCTTCATGGTGCTGGCGCGGGCGCCGCACTGGTGCGCCACAAAGAAAGCCACCTTCTCCTTGGTGTTGCCGGGCTTGATGACGTACCACGTGTCCAGCAGCACCCGGCCCTCCTCTGACGCTGGTGTTGGCGGTGCCGGCGGTGCCGCGGCGGCAGGCTCTGCAGTGCCGGTGCCAGTGCCGGGGGGCGGCGTGTTCTCGGTGTGGCGGCAGGAGGGGCTGAAGGGTTTCTTGGCGCTGCCGGGGCCGGCGCATGGCTTGTTCTGGCTGTAGGTGCCGAAGGGCCGCGGGCACCAGAGCTGCAGCTGCGGGAAGGCGTTGGGCTCCATCAGGGCTGCATGGCACTGCTGGGGCAGCCGCCGCGGCGCCGGCGCTGCCGGGAGGAGAGCGCTGTTAGCGAGGATGCTGGGGCCGCTATGGGGCTGGTATGGGGCTGATGGGGTCAGTATGGGGCTAGTATGAGGTTGATGGGGCTGGTATGGGGCCAGTAAGGACCCCCTATGGGGCTGGTGGGACCAATATGGACCCCCTATGGGGCTGGTGGGAAAAGAATGGACATGCTATAGAGCTTGTGGGAACAGTATGGACCCAATATGGGGCTGGTGGCATGAGAATGGACAAGGTATGGGGCTGGTGGGACCAGTATGGACACACTATGGGGCTGGTGGGACCAGTATGGACCCATATGAAGCTGGTGGGACCACTGTGGACCCGCTATGGGGCTCGTGAGACCAGAATGGACCCCCCTGTGTGGCTGGTGGGACAGAATGGACCCAATAGGGGGCTGGAAGGACCAGAATGAAGCCCCTATGGGGCTGGTGGGACCAGCACGGACCCTCTATGGGGCTGTGGGTCCCGCTGTGGGTCCCATGGGGTGACCCCAATGCCCCCCCATGCTTTGCACACGCCCCCCACGCCCCGCCCCCGGCCTCGCCCTCACCCCAAGCCCCGCCCCCTCACCGCACCTTGCCCTTAAAGCGCCCGCGGCGCGACCGGCGCCAGGCCCCGCCCCTCGCCTGCTGCCACGCCCCCTTAACTACCGCGCCGGCCAATCAGGCAGCCGCGTTCGGGCCATGCCCATATATAGACGGCGGTAGCGCGGTGGCCCGAGGGGGCGCGGCCGGAGCCTGCGGGGGGCGTGGCCGGCGCCGAGGGAGGCGTGGACAGCGCTGAGGGGGCGTGGTCACGTGTCGCCGCCCGCCCCGGTCCCGCGTGGGCCCGGCCGGTGCCACCGGCCCCGCACCGGGGGGGGGTGGGGGGGAGGGGGGCGGAGAGGGGGGCGGGGCTCCGGTAACCCCGGGGGGGGGGGGAGGGGTGCGGGGGCCGGGCCTGCGGGGACCCCCCCTCCCCCCTCCCCGAGCGCCGTCCCCGGGCCCAGCGGCCGGTACCGAGCGCGGCGGCCGGGCCCGCCCCCGCCCCCTCCCCCCCCGCCCCCGGGCCTCGGGCCCCGCCCGGTGCCGCCGCCCCTCCCCCGCTCACCGGGCAGGTGCCGGGCGCGGCCGCTCCGCCTTCCCCGCGCCGCTTCCGGGGTGCGCCCCCCCCGCGCGTGCGCACAGCGGCCCCGCAGCGCGCCTGCGCCGCCGCGGAGGGGACGATGGGAGTTGTAGTCCGATGGACGCGGGAGGGGGGAGGGGGGGAGGTGGAGACTCCGCGCATGCGCGATGAGCATAAGGCATCCTAATGCGTCCCGACGCATCCCAACGCATCCTAACGCATCCCAATGCATCCTAACGCATACCCATGTATCCCAACGCGTCCCAATGTGTCCCAATGGATCCCAATGCATCCCAACGCATCCCAACGCATCCCAGTGCATCCCAATGTATCCCAGAGCATCCAAATGCAACCCCATGTATCCCAACGCATCCCAATGCAACCCAACGCATCCCAACGCTTCCCAATGGATCCCAACGCATCCCAACACATCCCAACGCATCCCAGTGCATCCCAATGTATCCCAGCGCATCCTAACGCATCCCCATGTATCCCAATGCATCCCAATGCAACCCAACGCATCCCAATGCATCCTAACGCATCCCAATGTGTCCCAATGGATCCCAAAGCATCCCAACGTATCTCAACGGATCCCAACACATCTCAATGCATACCAACGCATCCCACTGCCTCCCAGCGCATCCTAACGCATCCCCATGTATCCCAACGCATCCCAATGCAACCCAATGCATCCTAACGCATCCCCATGTATCCCAACGCATCCCAACGCATCCCAATGCATCCTAACGCATCCCAATGGATCCCCAACGCATCTCAATGCATCCCAACGCATCCGAATGGATCCCCAACGCATCTCAACGCATCCCAACACTTCCCAGCGCATCCCAGTGTATCCCAACACATCCTAACGCATCCCATTGCATCCAAATGCATCCCAACTTATCCCAGCATATCCCAGTGCATCCCAACGTATCCCAGTCCATCGCAATGTATCCCAGTGCATCCTAACGCATCCCAATGCAACCCAATGCATCCTAACGCATCCCAATGCATCCCAAGTATCTCAACGCATCCCAATGCATCTCAACGCATCCCAACACTTCCCAACGCATCCCAGTGCATCCAAATGCATCCCAACTCATCCCAAAGCATCCCAGTGCATCCCAACACATCCCAATGCATCTCATGAATCCCAACACATCCCATCCTAAAGCATCCCAGTGCATCCCAACGCATCCCAGTGCCCCCTCCCCGTTCATTCCACTGCACTCTCAGCGCGACCACCTGTATTTTTAGGGTTCAGACCTGGGGACCCCCCCGAGACCCCCGCCCAGCACCCAGAGGTGTCATGGACCCCCCCTCCACCCCCCCCAGCACCCAAAGGTGTCAGGGACCCCCCTCCAACCCCCCCAGCACCCAGAGGTATCAGGGACTCCCCTCAACCCCCCCCAGCACCCAAAGGAGTCGGGGACCCCCTCTCCACCTCCGCCCAGCACCCCAAGACCCCCCCCCAAGGCATCGGGCCCCCCCGAGGACCCCCCCAGCACCCAAAGGTGTCCGGGACCCCTCCTCCACTCCACCAAGACCCCACCAAGACCCCCCCAAAGGTATCGGGGACCCCCCCAAGACCCCACCCCCAAAGCATGGGGACCCCCCCAAGACCCCCTCCCCCCACAGTCCATGGGGACCCCCCCATCCCCTCTGCCCCCCTCAGCAGACGCTCTCGGCGCCCTCGTGCCCCCCGGTCCCGGGGGGGGGCGGTGGTCGCTGCCCCCCCACGGCCACGTAGCGGCGGGACCCGAGGGGGGGGCCCGGGGGGGGCGGCGGGGGGCGGCGAGGCGGCAGCGCTGCCACCAGCGGCGCACCTCGGCCTGCACCTGAGGCACAGCGCCGCGCAGCGTCCGAACGGGGAACGGCAGCGTCCGAACGGGGAACGGCAGCGTCCGAAGGGGGAACGGCAGCGTTAGAACGGGCACCGGCAGCGTTATAACGGGGAACGGCAGCGTCAGGACGGGGAACGGCAGGGAACGACAGCGCCACGACAGCGCGACACAGCGTCAGGACCGGGAACGACAGCCTCACGACAGGACGCGACACGGACCCCTCCCCCCCGTAGCACCCCAGTACCGCACCTCCTTGTTGACGAAGCAGTAGAGGACGCTGACAACAAGGCCCTGAGGGGTGGGGTATATCGCGATATATCGTGAACACCCGCCATTGCAAGAGCCACCCCTCCATCGCACCCCCCATGGCAATTCATGTGTCATATCCCATAACCCATACCCCATACCCCATATCCCATATCCCAAAGCCCACATCCCATACCCCAAATCCCATATCCCACATCCCATATCCCATATCCCATACCCTATATCCCATATCCCACACCCCATATCCCATACCCTATATCCCATATCCCACATCCCATACCCCAGACCCCATATCCCATATTCCATACCCTAAATCCCATATCCCATACCCTATATCCCATATCCCACATCCCATATCCATTACCCCATATCCCACACCCCATATCCCACATCCCATACCCCATATCCCTTATCCCATATCCCATACTTGATCCCACATATTGCATACCCCATATCCCCTATCCCGTACCCCATACCCCGTACCCCATACCCCGTACCCCACACCCTGTACCCCACCCCCGTATCCTCCTCCGTGCCTGGGACGAGGACAGCAGCACTTGCAGGCAGAGCCGCACCAGGCGCAGGGACCCCCCCCCGGGCCCGTCCCCAGCCAAGGCAAAGGCGACTTCGTGCACCCCCAGCAGCGGGATCAGCGTCAGCGTGGACCGGGCCAGTCTGGGGGGGGGGGACACGACACGATGGGGACCCCGGGGGGCCGACAGGGACCCCCCGAGGGAGGACATGGATGGGGATGGGGACCCCGATGTCCTCACTGACCCCAATGCCCCCACCTGACCCCAGTGTCCCCACATGACTCCAGTGTCCTCACCTGACCCTGCTGTCCCCATGTGACCCCAAAGTCCTCACCTGACCACACTGTCCTCACCTGACCCCAATGTCCCACGTGACCCTGCTGTCCTCACCTGACCGCACTGTCCCCACGTGACCCCAATGTCCTCACCTGACCACACTGTCCTCACGTGACCCCAATGTCCCACGTGACCCTGCTGTCCTCACCTGAACACGCTCTCCTCACCTGACCGCGCTGTCCCCACGTGACCCCGCTGTCCTCACCTGACCCTGGTGTCCCCAAGTGACCCCGCTGTCCTCACCTGACCCTGGTGACCCCAAGTGACCCCGCTGTCCTCACCTGACCCTGGTGTCCCCACGTGACACTTGGTGCGCCCGGACCTTGGCCACGAGGATGCGGACGATGCGGATGAAGACCACGAAGTTCACCTGAGGACACGGAGACAGCGGCCGTGACACCCCCCTGGCCCCTAGCACAGCCCCCCCATGGCCCCCCCATGGCCCCCCCATAGCCCCCCATGTCCCCCCCGTCCCTCCATGACCCCCCTATGCGCCCCCATGTCCCCAATATCCCCCCACATGTTCCCCCATATATCCCCTCCATATCCCCTCCATGTCCCCCATGTCTCCCCCATAATATCCCCCCAATGTCCCCCCATATTCCCCCCATATCCCCCCCATACCCCCCCCCATGTACCCTCGTATCCATCCCCATGACCCCCCTGTCCCCCCACCCACCGCCACGGCCGCCAGGATGGGGCACCGGATGATCCACCACACGGCCGCCTTCTCGTTCCTCTCCCAGCAGCTGCCATGGGGCCCGGTCACCCCCGTTGGGGACCCCGAGGAGCCAAGGGGGGGGGGGGTGTGTGCATGGAAAGGGGGGTGGGGGGGGTCTGGGGGCCTCACCCCTCATTCTCGTAGAGGTACCGCACCACCACCCATGGCACCACAAAGAGCAGGGGGGCACCTGCAGGGGAGGAGGTGGTGGGGATGTGGGATATGGGATCTAGGGATATAGGTATGGGATATGGGATATAGGGTATGGGATATGGGGTGTGGGATCGAGGGGTATGGGATATGGGGTATGGGATTTGGGGTATGGGATATGGGATGTGGGGTAGGAGATATGGGATATGGGGTATGGGGTATGGAATATGGGATATAAGGGTATGGATTATGGGAAATTGGGTATGGGATATGGGATATAGGGATATGGGATATGCAATATGGGATATAGGGATCTGGGATATAGGGATATGGGATCTGGGATCTGGGATATGGGGTATGGGATATGGGTTACAGGTATATGAGATATGGCATATGGGATATGGCATATGGGGTATGGGATATAAGGATATGGGATATAGGACATGGGATATAAGGATATGGGATATGGGTTATGGGATACAGGGATCTGGGATATAGGGATGTGGGATATGGGTTATGGGATACAGGGATCTGGGATATAGGGATATGGGATATGGGATGTGGGATGTGGGACGCGGGGCTCACCCCACCCGAGGAGCAGGAATGCCGGCAGGCAGCGCTCTCCGGAGAAGGCCGCCAGCACCAGCAGCTTGTGCAGGAAGAGCCCCTCTGCCAGCAGCCACCCGTAGTTGGCTCCCACGCAGTACTGGGTGACGGCCTGGGCCAGGCGGCACCCGGCCACCGCCTGCACCGGGACGGCCCCGGGACAGCGCCATGCGGGGGAGCAGGGGGGGCAATGGGGACCGAGCTCCCCCCCCCCCCGTTGTGTCCCGTATCCCGCTGCATCCCAGCATCCCCCCCCCCGCCCTTTGGTACCCTCCGCACCTCGAGGCGCAGCCCCTGCAGCGGGTGCGCGCTCCCGGCTGCCAGGCGGCGCTGCAGGAGCGCGTCCCGGGTGAGGATGGAGCCGGCGCGGAGCACGAAGGACACGAAGAGGTTGGCGTGGATGAAGTTGCGGGTGCAGCGCAGGCGCCTGGGCAGCAACGGGGGGGGGGTGCAGGGGGTGGTATCGCCCCATAGCGGGGGGGTCACATCACCATGTGTGCCCATCACTATGGGTGTCCCCATCACCATGTGTGCCCATCACTATGGGTGTCCCCATCACCATGTGTGCCCATCACTATGGGTGTCCCCATCACCATGTGTGCCCATCACTATGGGTGTCCCCATCACCATGTGTGCCCATCACTATGGGTGTCCCCATCACCATGTGTACCCATCACTATGGGTGTCCCCATCACCATGTGTGCCCATCACTATGGGTGTACCCATCACCATGGATGCCCATCACTGTGGTTGTACCCATCACCATGGATGCCCATCCCTATGGGTATCCATCACTATGGGTGCCCATCACCATGGGTATCCATCACTATGGGTGTCATCATCACTATGGGTGCCCATCACTGTGGGTGTCCATCACCATGGGTGTCCACCACCATGGGTATCCATCACTAGGGGTGTCCCCATCACTTTGGGTGCCCACCACTATGGGTGCCCATAGCTATGGGTACCCCATCACTATGGATGCCCATCACTATGGGTGTCCCCATCACTATGGATGCCCATCACTATGGGTGCAGGTCGGTACCTGAAGAGCAGCAGCAGAAGCAGCGCCAGGACCAGGGCGACGAGGGACAGGGAGTACCCGACGGTGTAAAGCAGCCGGAGCTGCTCCAGCAGCCAGGCCTGGCGCTGCGGGACAGCACCGGCACCGGGGCCGTGGGTCCATGGGGCAGGGACCAGGGGACACGATCCAGCACCATAGGAACACAGCACGGAGTTAATGGCATGGGATGGAGGGGCACGGGAGGGGATGGAGGAGCACAGGGTGGGATGCAGGAGCACGGGATGGGATGGAGGAGCACAGGGTGGGATGCAGGAGCACGGGATTGGATAGAGGAGCACAGGATGGGATGCAGGAGCACGGGATTGGTTGGAGGAGCACACACGGGGTGATGGCACCCGCAGAGCCCGGGACCCGGCACAGCGCACGGCACAGCTTGACATGGACCAACGCAGCGCGGAGCTGCACGCTCCGGCGCATCCCAGCATCCCCCCGTTCATCCCACGCTGCCTCATCCCAGCGCATCCCGGCTCATCCCAGCACGGGGCACGGCAGCGTGACACAGCCCAGCCCGGCACCTCCACCTTGTGCCGGCGCACCATAGCCCCCCATAGACCCCTTAGCCTCCCATAGAACCCCATACCACCCCCAGAGCCCACATACCCCCCATATCCCCGAAGCCCCCATACCCCTCATAGCCCCCATACCCCCCATAACCCCCAAAGCCCCCATAACCCCCATAGCCCCCCATAGCCCCCATAGACCAATAGCCCCCCATTGCCCTCATACCCCGAATAGACACTCATACCCTCAAAAGCCCCATACCCCCTCATACCGCCCATACCCCCCATAGTCCCCATAGCCCCCCATAGCCCCCATACTCCCCAAAGCCCCCATGCCACCCATAGCCCCCATAGCCCCCCATAGCCCCCATAACCCCCATGCTCCCCATCCCCCCCATACCCCCCATAGTCCCCATACCCCCAATAGCCCCATACTCCCCATATCCCCCTATATCCCCCATAGCCCACATACCCCCCCCATAGCCCCCATACCTGCAGCGGCTGCTCGGGCGCGGGGTCCTCGCACTGTCCATGGTCCTGCCACGGCCGCCCGGTGCCGTCGCTGACCCAGCGCCCATCGGGGCCGCAGCGCCGGAACACGAACCCCCCCTGCACTGTGCCCGGTGTCACCCCGCGGGGCTGCCCCATAGATGTGACCCCCATCTGCCCCCACCTTCCTGCCCCCCATCTCCCCTGTGTACCTCGGTGGTGCCAGGGCAGGTAGGGGGGGCAGGGGACGCTGGCGGTACTGTTGGGGGCCGCATCCCCCCAGCACGCGTAGAGGTCGAAGCTGCGGTTGCAGACGGGCCCTGGGGGGGGGCGGGGAGTCAGAGGGGGGGTGGGGGGCACCTTGACCTCCCCCCCCCCCATTGCCGGGGCTCACCAGGGGCAGGGGGGTCGAGGCGCAGGTGCTGCTCGCAGGCCTGGCGGTACCGGAGCCACGCGGCGAGGGTGGCGTGGGCAGAGCGGTCCTGTGGGACACAGGGATGGAGGCATTGGGATGGAGCCATGGGGATGGAGCCATGGGGATGGAGCCATGGGATGGAGGCATTGGGATGGAGCCATGGGGATGGAGCCATGGGGATGGAGTCCTGGGGATGGAGTCCTGGGGATGGAGCCATTGGGATGGAGCCATGGGATGGAGCCCTGGGGATGGAGGGGTTGGGATGGAGCCAGTGGGATGGAGCCATGGGGATGGAGCCATGGGGATGGAGGCATTGGGATGGAGCCATGGGGATGGAGTCCTGGGATGGAGTCCTGGGGATGGAGCCATTGGGATGGAGTCCTGGGGATGGAGTCCTGGGGATGGAGCCATGGGGATGGAGCCATTGGGATGGAGTCCTGGGGATGGAGTCCTGGGGATGGAGCCATTGGGATGGAGGCATTGGGATGGAGCAATTGGGATGGAGGCACTGGGGATGGAGGCATTGGGATGGAGGCATTGGGATGGAGCAATTGGGATGGAGGCATTGGGGATGGAGGCACAAGGGATGGAGCCATTGGGGGTGTAGCCATTGGGATGAAGCCATTAGGATGGAGGCATGGGGATGGAGCCATTGCGATGGAGTCATTGGGATGGAGTCATTGGGATGGAGGCATGGGGATGGAGCCATTGGGATGGAGCCATTGGGGATGGTGCCATGGGGCCACCTCCGTAGGGCCACCCCTTGGGGGCATAGATGCACACTTGGGGGTCCCGGCTCTCACCTCAGCCCCACGCAGGACCCGGTGGAGCAGGGAGGGGGCCATTGCCCAGTGCCCCATGGCAACAGCTCCTGTGAGGGGTCCAGCACCATGGGGATGGGGGGCAGCACCACGTGTCCCTTGTGCCCCCCCCCTTGACCCCCCAATGGCCTGTGCCCCCCATGTTCCGGTGCCCCCCAAATCCCTCATTCCCCCCCATATCCTTTATCCCCCCTATATCCCTCATTCCCCCCAATATCCCTTATCCCTCCCTATATCCCTCATCCCCCCATATCCGTTATCCCTCCCCATATCCCTTATTCCCCCCCCCGTATCCCTAGTTACCCCCCCATCCTTGTCCCCTCCTCATCCCTTATCACCCCCTTTGTCCCCCCCATGTCCCGGTCCCCCCCCCCCGGACCCCCCCTGTCCCCGGTACCTGCTCCTGGCTGGGCTCCGCAGCCCTCGGGGCACCGGCACCGGCGGCACCGCCCCGGGATGGGCGGGGGACGGGAGGGGGGGGGGGGTTGGTGGAGCAACGTGACCCGGGGCGGGGGGGCACCCGGCAGGGTCCCATTGTCATTATGGGGGTGCCATTGTCACTATGGGAACCCCATTGTCACTATGGGGGTGCCAGCATCACTTTGGGGGTCCTATTGTCACTATGGGAACCCCATTGTCACTATGGGGGTGCCAGCATCACTTTGGGGGTCCTATTGTCACTATGGGAACCCCATTGTCACTATGGGACCCCATTGTCACTATGGGGGTGCCAGCATCACTTTGAGGGTCCCATTCTCACTATGGGAACCCCATTGTCACTATGGGGGTGCCAGCATCACTGTGGGGGTCCCATTGTCACTATGGGAACCCCCACTGTCACTATGGGGGCCCCATTGTCACTATGGGGGTCCCATTCTCACTATGGGAACCCCATTGTCACTATGGGGGTCCCATTGTCAATAAGGGAACCCTATTGTCACTGTGGGGGTGCCAGCATCACTGTGGGGGTCCCATTGTCACCTTGGGGGTCCCAGTCTCAATAAGGGGGTCCCAGTGTCACTGTGGGAATCCTATTGTCACTGTGGGGGTCCTGGTGTCACTTAGGAGGGGTCCAGTATCACTAAGAGGGCCCCAGTGCCAATTAAAGGGGTCCCAGTGTCACTATGGGGTCCCTCCAGCATCACCTAAGGCGTCCCAGTGTCAATGAGGGGTCCCAGTGTCAATTAGAGGGGTCCCAATGTCTCTCAAGGGAGTCCCATTGTCACTATGGGGTCCTCAGTATCATTTAGGGGGTCCCAGTGCCAATTAAAGGGGTCCCAATATCATTTAGGGGGTCCCATTGTCACTATGGGGGTCCCAGTATCATTTAGGGGATTCCAGTGCCAATTAAAGGGGTCCTAGTATCATTTAGGGAGTCCCATTGTCATTATGGGGGTCCTAGTGCCACTTATAGGGGTCCCAGTGTCATTTAGGGGGTCCCATTGTCACTATGGGGGTCCCAGAACCATTTAGGGGGTCCTAGCATCACTACGGGGGGTCCAGCATCACTGGGAAGGGTCCCAGCATCACTGTGGGGGTCCCAGCGTCTCTATGGGGGTCCCAGCGTCGCTATGGGGGTCCCAGCATCACTGTGGGGGTCCCATTGTCACTATGGGGGTCCCAGCGTCACTGTGGGGGTCCCAGCATCACTGTGGGGGTCCCATTGTCGCTATGGGGGTCCCATTGTCATTGTGGGGGTCCCATTGTCGCTATGGGGGTCCCATTGTCGCTATGGGGGTCCCATTGTCATTGTGGGGGTCCCATTGTCACTATGGGGGTCCCAGCGTCACTGTGGGGATCCCAGCATCACTGTGGGGGTCCCATTGTCGCTATGGGGGTCCCATTGTCGCTATGGGGGTCCCAGCGTCACTGTGGGGGTCCCAGCATCACTGTGGGGGTCCCATTGTCGCTATGGGGGTCCCAGCGTCACTGTGGGGGTCCCAGCATCACTGTGGGTGTCCCATTGTCGCTATGGGGGTCCCATTGTCGCTATGGGGGTCCCAGCGTCACTGTGGGGGTCCCAGCATCACTGTGGGGGTCCCATTGTCGCTATGGGGGTCCCATTGTCGCTATGGGGGTCCAGCGTCACTGTGGGGGTCCCAGCATCACTGTGGGGGTCCCATTGTCGCTATGGGGGTCCCATTGTCGCTATGGGGGTCCCATTGTCATTGTGGGGGTCCCATTGTCGCTATGGGAGCATCAGTTCGCACGGAGGCGGGAGCGGGGGGGTGGTGGTGGAGGGGGGCGTGGCCAGCGCCTTGGGGGCGTGACCAGCAGTGTTGTGCCGTATCCTAGCAACGCAAACGGGGTGGGGAGTGGGGGCGTGGCCTATGCGGCGAGGGGCGTGTCCGCGCCCCTCCCCTCCCCCCCCCCGGCGCGCGTCGCGCGCGCTCTGACGTCACGGCGGCGCGCGATGGTGGCGGGCGCGTTCCCGCTGGCGAAGCTGCTGACGCTGGGCGCGCGCCAGCTGAGCCGGCCCCTGGCGGCGCGAATCAAGGCGGGGGCGCGCGCCAGCCCCTTCTTCCGCACGTGCATCTGCCTCCCGCCCGCGCAGCGTGAGGGGGGGGCATGGGGATGGGGGGGGCATGGGGGTGGGGGGGAAAGGGAATGGGGGGGTCAATGGGGATGGGGGGGCATGGGGATGGGGGGGGCATGGGGGTGGGGGAGTGTCATTGGGAATGGGGGGGTCAATGGGGATGGGGGGGCATGGGGATGGGGGGGGCATGGGGGTGGGGGGGTGTCATTGGGAATGGGGGGTCAATGGGAATGGGGGGGTGTCAGTGGTTATAGGGGGGTCAGTGGGGATGGGGGGAGTGTCACTGGAAGTAGGGGATCATTGGGAATGGGAAGGGTTCATTGGGAATGGGGGGGCATGGGGATGGGGGGGCGCATGGGGGTGGGGGAGTGTCATTGGGAATGGGGGGGTCAATGAGAATGGGGGGGAATGGGGATGGGGGGGTAAAGGGGATGGGGGGGAAATGGGAATGGGGAGGGGAAGGGAATGGGGGGTGTCAGTGGGAATGGGGGGGTCAATGGGAATGGGGGGTCAATGGGAATTGGGGGGTGTCAGTGGTTATGGGGGGGTTAGTGGGGATGGGGGGAGTGTCATTGGGAGTAGGGGATCAATTGGGAATGGGAAGGGGTCATTGGGAATGGAAAGGGCAGTGGGTATGGGGGGGGGTCAATGGGAATGGGAAGGGGTCATGGGAATGGGAGGAGGCATTGGTAAGGGGGGTGGTCAATGGGAATGAGGGGTTATTGGGATTATGGGGACGGGAATGGGAGAGGGGGTATCAGTGGGAATAGGGGAGTGCACTGGGAATGGAAGAGGGCAGTGGATGGGGGGTCAATGGGATGGGAAGGGGAGGGAATGGGGGGTCAAGGGGAATGGGAGGGGGTCATTGGGAATGGGAGGAGGGCAGCTGGAAGAGGGTGGTGTCAGCGGGAATACAGGTTCATTGTGAAAGCAGGAGGTCATTGGGAATGGGAGGGGGCAGTGGGTATGGGGGGGTCAATGGGATTGGGGTCATTGGGAATAGGAGGAGGGCACTTGTACGGCAGTTGTGTCATTGGGAAGAGGGATTCATTGGAAGTGGGGCGTCATTGGGAATGGGAAAGGACAGTGAGTATAGGGGTTCATTGGGAATGGAGGGCGTGACTGATTATAGGGGGTGATTGGAACGGAAGGTGCAATGAGTATAGGGGGTGTCAATGGGATAGGGAAGGGGTCATTGGGAATGGGAAAGGACAGTGGGTATGGTCAATGGGATTGGGGTCATTGAGAATGGGAAAGGGCAGTGGGTATGGAGAGGTCAATGGGATTGGGGTCATTGAGAGTGGGAAAGGGCAGTGGGCATGGAGAGGTCAATGGGATTGGGGTCATTGAGAGTGGGAAAGGGCAGTGGGTATGGGGGGGTCATTGGGTACGGATGGGGGCCTCAGGAATGGGTGTACAGGATGCGGCAGGGGCCTGGTCAGTACCACTGTGAGCAGGGCGGGGGGGGCGGTGGTGGTAACGTGGCGGCCATCGCAGTGTACCACTGGGTGGAGATGCGCGCCCAAGATGCGGCTGATGGGCTTCCGCGGCGCGGCGGTGAAGCCGCTGAACGAGGAGGCGGCGGCGGAGCTGGGGGCCGAGCTGCTGGGCGAGGCCATCGTGTTCGGCGTGGGGGGGCTCTGCCTCTACCTCGAGTACGCGCGGCAGGCGGGGGCCGCCCGGCGCCGGGAGGAGGAGCAGGCGGCGGCCATGCGGGACCTGCGCGACCGCCTCGACCGCCTGCACCGACAGGTCGAGGCCTTGGCGGGAAACAGCCCCGCTGGACACGCCCCCGAGGGGGAAAGCCCCGCCCCTACGGGCTCTAACCCCGCCCTACGGGCGCTAACCCCGCCCCCTCGGGGTCGAACCCCGCGCCCGCCGGGGGTGGCCCCGCCCATTAAACTGTGATTGGTGCTCACGCGTTTTTCCCGCCTGAATGGTGAGAGGGCGTGGCTTGAAGCCAATGGGGGGGTAAAGGTGACGCGAGGACATGGGGGGGGGTCATGTACAAAACCGTGTTTATTGCGGGGGATCACCCTAAAATAACCCCCCCAAAAAGGTGAAAACCCCAAAAGTGGCCTAAAAAGGAGGTCCCTGAAGTGTCCGGGGGGAGCGGGGGGTGCACAGTGCGAGGGGGGCTGCTGGGGCCCCCCAAAGCGGTAAGGCACAGCCTGGGGGGGCCCAGGGCAGTGGATGGGGGGAGGGAAGTGTAGGGACCCCCACACCCCCAAATCTGGGGTCGTGGGGGGGGTCAGGGCAGGCTCCGCTTCCTCAGCTCCATCACAACGGCTGGGGGGGGAATGCAGTGTTGGGGGGGGTCAGCGATAACCCCCCTTGCCCCTCTAAGCACCCCCATTCCCCCCTCCGACTTCCCCATTACCCCCCATTGAAACCTCCCATTGCCCCCAAGGACTGCCCCCAATGATCCCCCCTATTTCCCCCCCCCACCAATGACCCCCGCCATTGCCCCCCACCTTCAATAAGCTCCTCCTTCATCTTCTGCAGCTCCCTCCTCATCTCCTCCAGCAGCTCCTGGGGCAAAGGGGGCGGGGGCAACAGGATGAGAATGGATTTAGGGGGACCCCCGACCCCCCACCCCTAAATTCCCCCCCTCACCCCATACCTGTTTGATTCGCTCAAGTTCGGGCTCCTCAGTGGGAGCGGGGGGGTCGCTGGGGGCAGCTGGAGCAGCTGACTTCATCCTGGGGGATGAGGGGGGAGAAGGAATAAGTTGGGGAGCCCCCCAACCTACTTGGAACCCCCCAAACTGCCCCCCAAAACCCACCTGGGCAGCGTGTTGCTCCCCTTCTCCCACGGCCTCCGCATGGGTTCTGTGGGGAGAGGGCGCTGGCTCGGGGGGGACCCCAAAAATATCCCCCAACCCCCTCCAAACCCCACAAAACGGCCCCCAACGCCCTCAAACGCCCCCTAAACCGGTTTAAAACCGCCCCCCCCCGGACTACATTTCCCATCATGCCCAGCAACGGGAGCCCGCCGCGAAGCATGCTGGGAGCTGTAGTCCCCGACGCTCACCCGCGGGGCTGCCCCTGGGTCCTAGTGCCCGGCTCCGCCTCGTCCTGCGGGGAGAAGAGTGAGGGGTCGGGGGACACGGAGGGGGGACACGGGAGGTGTCCACCGGCATCTGAGGACAAGGGGAGGGGCAGGGGGATGGGGGCAGCCCCCTAGAGCGTTATTTTGGGGGGGAGCCCCCAAATCGGTATTTTGGGTTAAAATCCCCCCAAATTGGTATTTTTTTGGGGAAAAGACCCCAGACTTGGTGTTTTGGAGAGGGGCACTGACGTTGGTGACGTCCTCGTCCCTCTTGGGCGCTGGTTTGTCCCCCTGCAGCGTGGCTTTCCTCCTGGGGGGGCAAAGAGGGGGTCAGCACGGGTACCCCATTTGAGGGTACCCCCATTTAAAGGTACCCCCATTTGAGGGGGGTCCCCCCCATTTCCCCTATTATCCCCCCCTCACCTGCGGGCCAGCATCGCGTTCATCTCCTCCATCAACCCCCCTCCCCCGGTGCCCCCCCGGGCACCGTCACCCTTGGGGGGTGCAGGGGGGTTCCCTGCTGTCTCCTCCTGCTGTGACAAAGGGGGGGGGATGAAATCGAGCCCCCCCCTCCCCTTGACACCCCCCCCCCCCCCCCCCCCCCCCAATTCATTGCCCTCACCTTGACCCTCCGGAGCTTGGCCCCCGCGATGGCAGCAGCGAAACCAGGGCTCCCCCCACCCCCCCCAGCCCCCGGTAACGGGGGGGGCCCCAGCACCCCCGCGGCTGGGGGGGAGCAGGAGGTGGGGGGGGGCCCGGCGGTGGGGGGGGGCCAGGGGGTGGCGGCGGAGGGGCTCCAGCAGGGGGCCTGGGGGGGGTCATGGGTTTGGGAGGGAGGTTATGGGGTGACCCCAGGTCGTTTTGGGGTGCCCCCCACTATCCGTCACCTACCTGAGGCCGCCACGCGGGGCTCGGGGTCCTCCAGCGGCTGCCTGAGGGTTGGGGGGGGTCAGCACCCGTGGGGAGGGGGGAGGACCCCTGCAAATCGAGGGGGGGGGGCACCCACCTCTCCTGGGGGTCGGGGTCTTCTGCGCTGTCGGGGTCTGGCCAGGAAACGGGGGTGCCTGGGGGAAGGGGCCAAGGTGAGGTCATGGGGGGGGGTCAGGGTTATGGGGGGGGTCTCAGGGTCATGGGGGGTTCAAGGTGGGGTCATGGGGGGGCTCAGGGTCATGGGGGTATCAAGCTGTGGTCATCGGGGGGTCTCAGGGTCATGGGGGGGCTCAGGGTCATGGGGGGTTCAGGGTCATGGGGGCGTCAAGGTGGACTCATGGGGGGGTCTCAGGGTGGGGTAAATGGGGGGTCAAAGGTGGGATCATGGGGGTTCAAGGTGGGGTCACGGGGGTCTCAGAGTGGGGTCAAGGGGGGGTCAGGGTGGGGGTTA